CCGTGGTCAGCGCTTGCAAACCACCGAGAAAGCTAAACGGGAAGGGGAAGACAAATGAAAGAAAGGAAAAAAAAAAAAAAAAAAATAAATCAAATAAAGTACCTCGAAGAACGCAATTTGATGCTCAAGAGCCGCAGTGGGGGCGTTTTCCTCCTTGGTTTGCAGGGAGAAATGGTAGAACAGGGTGCCAGAGCCGAGATCAGCGTCGGTCTGGGGGATAAGCTCAGAGCGCATCATGGTTTGGCCATTCCAGGACGAGGTGTCATCCTTTAGAAAGAGACGTTAGTGACTTTTCTTGGGCCAAGTGTTTATGAGGAGTGTTGTACAATGCTGATGCGAATGCCCTTCTCATCGCTCTTGTCCGCCGGGTTCTTGAAGTCTGCGCTAACTTCAAGGTAGTTGCTAGTGGCCTCGGAGCCGTGGATGTACCACTGGTATGGGCCGACTGGGTTAGACCAAGACCCTAAATAGACATTAGCGTTTGCTGTGGAGATAGATGTTCAAGTATTTGGTCTTACATTTGTCTAGCTGATCGACAGTGAAGGAGGAGTTGAAGAAGCCGTCCCAGACGACTTCTCCAGCGTGAACAAGGGGAATTAGGAACAAGAATGACTTCATGTTTGTACGATGTGAACAATTTATCCTGGTACCTGTGGTATGCAAGACATTGGGCGCTTACTGAGGAATTTATAACGTTGAGAGGATCCTTCCTTCCTGACAGAGTGTTTTAGGATTCGTTTCAGATTGATTCAGACTCGCACCGCGAAAGCGACACGGAACACCACGGATAAAACCATTAAGAATAACTTCAATTTAACCATAACGGCCCGGAGAGCCGATCATCCGTATTGGAACTAGCAAGTATCATGTTGATCATACACTATCCGTCAAATAGTAATTTCATTTCTCCACCACTCGCGAAGGATTTCAATCAATTACATCTTGCCCTTCGCAACACTGTCCCCTGATTCATTTCCCCCCTCGATTTCGACATCTTGGGCGAGATGCATTTTGGGTAGCGTCCGCGCCAGACGGGGCGGGTCGAAAATGGTCTTCGACCGCAGGAAGATCTCGTCGATTTCCTCCAGGGTACGACCGTTGGTCTCCGGGAAGAAAAAGTATACCACCGGTACTATAGCCGCGTTCAACACGGCGAAGATGATATAGTACTTGTAGGAGATGGTATTGAAGCCGACGGGCGTCACCTCAGCCAGAAGGAAGTTGAAAGTCCACACAGCGGCGGTTGAGACTGCGCTGATGGCCGCGCGCAGCTGCAGCGGAGCCACCTCTGTGGCATACAGGAAGGTCAATCCGGAGTAACCCACGGTGAAGATAAACTCGAAGACAAACAGGAACACCACAGCCGCTACCAGCGTGCCTGTGTTGTCCGTCACCGATGTGGTGCCGCCCAATATCGCCATAGATGCCGACATGCCGACCGCACTCCACAGCATCAGCGGTCGCCGGCCCAGCCGGTCGATGGTGAAGAAAGCCAAGAATCCGCCAAGAGGCTGAGTGAGAGTCATGGATGCCGCAAGGATCCGAGACTGTATCGGGTCGAGTCCAAGGTACTGCTCGAAGATGGTGGTGGCGTAAAATGTGATGAGATTGATTCCGCACATCTGCTGGAACATCTGTCCGGTAGCCGCAAGAACCGTCCGATGGAACAACCGCTGCTCGCCCATCGACAACATATCCTTCCAAGATCCAGAGCCCGAGAGGGCCAGGGATCGTTCAATATCGGCGAGAGCCATGTTGATATCCTCGGAGTGGAGTTCCTGGTCGGCCAACGCAGCCAGAATTTCGCGTGCTTCCTCCACTCGACCTCTCTTGACAAGCCATCGGGGGGATTCGGGGAAAATTGTAATGAAGAGCATGACAACTAACGACAGCAGAACCTGGAAAGCCAGTGGGAATCGCCATGAGACCGAGTTGCCCTTCACGAAGTAAAAGCCGAAGTCTATCCATAAGGAGATCGCGATGCCTGCACCGATGAAAATCCCGTCCGTTACGACGTGGGCGCCACGTTTCTTAGCCTGAGAGATCTCGGCCTGCCACACAGGTACAGTCGCCACATAGCCACCGGTGCCCACGCCCAGCACCAGGCGGGCGACAATAAATTGGGCGAGTTGGAATGAGGTTGCCATTAAAACCGCTCCGATGATGGAAATTGCCGAGGTAATGAAAATGACGCGTCGGCGCCCAAGCAGGTCACCCAGGTAGATGCATGACAGAGATCCGAAGATACCTCCCACGGTATACAATGCGACCACCGTTCCTAAACACGATGAGAGTCAGGGGAGGTAACAATGCGACAAGGGTGCCACAGGAGAATTACCTTGAATAGTGGAGTTATAATGCTGCTCGGCACCCTCAGTGGTCAGGGTGTTCATCTGGGGAAACTGCAGGGCGAAGGATTCCAGGGTCAACAGCCCGCCGGTGACACCCTGGTTGTAACCATAACAGACGAATGCTGGGCATACGACGAGCCAGATGATGGCCCGATTTAGAAGCGCACCGCGCAAACCAAAGTAAGGCTGCATGGCCAAGACATGCAACACACACAGGGATTTCTTAAAAGTGGTCTGATTATGAGGCAATGGTATGAAAAAGTCATGCAATTAATCCGGGGAAATACTGTATATAGAAATGGCTCAGCCAATTCAGCCCCGCTGCGATCGTTAGGTCCATTCGAAACCAGCCTGGATGCATCTCAAGTTATAAAAAGGTATAACCCTTTCGGTCATTGCCCGGTCATCGGCGGTACCCGTGGCACCAAGACGTGGGCCCTTTTTCCCCAGACTTCGCTTTGCTTGAGGGACGCCACTAGGCGAGAGTCCAAGATGCTTGGCCGATGATCGGAAGTGGTGATCATGGCTGCCATTGAGGATATCCTCCATGGCGATTCGTGCCATGTGGTTTTCGTCCCAGCCTAACTTTCACGAGGATTCGTATACATGCTGCGAAACGAAACTTCCCAGAGGCATGGGAACACCCTCCCAGATACTCTTGCTTGGAGTAACAGCGGTGGCATTCCTTTTCCCCGCTTACCCTAAGTTGGTCAGTCCCCACCAAACTCGGCTTTGCCTCCCATCGGACCCGGCCGACGGCAGTTCAACCTCGGCCAGATAACATTGTATTGAGTAATGGAAAGAGTCAATTGCTCATGGATCGACGTTTAATAAACAGCTCTGCTGGGTCCATTTTGGATGCATGTGTATTACCCCAGAAAACCAAGAAATCTCGCTTCGTTCTAATGTTCCTTGGCTTGCCAAAGCGTCTCTTGTCATAACGGTGATATCCGAGTCGTGTGACCTAATAAAATCGTTCGCAGTCCATCCCTTAACGAACAATGCAATCAGTACATGAAGGCATTGTCCGAAGGACAACTGAGCCACTGCAACCTCGTGTATAGGAGCTCTCCTTGAGCATCACTCGTACTTCATCTGCTTTCACTGATTAGTCCGGAGTCCGCCGATGCAACACCATCGCTACCGCGTGCACTTTTGGGCGTGGAAAATCAAAACATAAATGTTTGATATAGGGACGATCATGTTACTTCATCCCTGTGGAAAAAGCAACGGGGCCTCTTCATGCATCAAGGAGACAAGTCAATGCTCGTGGAGAAGGCGGATGTGGCGGAACTGGGGTAAGTGGATCACTTATATACGGTTGCGCGGTCAATACGCAATTACTTTTCCTATCTTTGGCAATAAGGTAGTGTTATCAGAATCCCACCGGCAATTGATAAGTCTACAACGGTCTTAATTGGACATGTTAGACGCTGTTAGGCGTTGGTTGATGGCTACACTGTCGCCAAGATCGTCAAGCTTTGGCTCCACTTGGGGGTCCTGGAAAGCCCATTAGTTGACTCCATTACATGATCTCGTTACCTCGCATGTGTTATCGCACTGATATACCGGTATTGGTCATTCCCGCGCTTATCGTTATCGTCTGCCGAGGCTTCTTGTGTCATTCCATGAGCAGATATCTATTCGACGTTTTGCCCCCCGGAATCTCACGGAGATAGCATTATCTACGTTGATAACTGGTCATGACGAGGATCAAATTGTCATTTGAATCTGCAAATTCCCAACTCGATCTCAGTGTTGCCCTGAGCTTCTCTCCGTCATGGGTAAGAAATAATCCGAACAGGACGTCAGATTCTTCGCTTCCCTCAGTCGATCGGAATGCAGCAATGTTAAAAACTTTTTATATGTACAGCCAATTATAGTTGTAGAAAGATATGGGTCCTTCTAGGAGAGAGTGGCGCTGTACCTTGAATTGCCTTCCCAGGTCCCGAAACCTTCGTACGTTAGATATTTCTTGGCCTTAAGCGCTATTGATCGTGCATTGTTGATCATTTCATTACTAGAGATGATCGAAATAATGCCGTTCAAGCTTTTATGCCGTCGTCAGTAGTAGAATACAGCCTTAAAGGGATCATTGTAAGCACATGTTTGACGATAACTGTTTTGGAAAAAAACAAGTTTTGCTTGACTCTGAATCCTACACAGTCACGATAGTCACCACACAAAACATAGATCAGGGAAAGAACTGCATAGGAAACACGCCAGTGATAGACTAGCACATGAAGAAGTGGTATTACCATCAAACAAAAGCAGGCATTTGAAGCACTATAGTTTTCTGACAGCCCCGAGGTCTGCGTCTTCGACTTCGGTCCAACGGAGTTCCTCTAGCAAGAAGATACTGGCTATTCCCGATGATATTACTGTTACTTTATTTAGTCTAAGCAGAGCCACTGCTGATTGATAGTACACTAATATATATATTCTTGCTGCAACCTGAAGTTTTACATCGACTACTAATATATGAAGCATACAATGCAACCTAACCGGAATATTAGGCTTTGATTGTCTTCGGCTTTTCTTACCATCCATCTCTGTTTCTCTTCCTTTTTCTTCTTTTTGTAAGCCCAATTGATCCACATATATCCCAATGCCTTGATCCAGAGTGTGTGTTACTTGGTTGTCTAGTTCTATGACGACTAGAGCGTTCGGGTCGGTCCAGACGTTCAGCTTCCATACGCAATAGCCACCAAGGCGCTCAATTACTCGCCATGTTGAGTGGTCGGGCTGTCTGTTAAAGGTCGTTGTAAGGTTTAAACTTCTGGTTTTGGCCTCGGGATATTGGTATTTACTAACTGACAAAAGAACAATATTAAAGATATCAGTTGGGGTTTGATGTACAAGCCATCATTAATATAAAGGGATATAATATCAATCTCAGAATGGGCTGGTTGCTGTCCCATATACGGCTGACTATGATAAGAGTCTATTAATCGATCATACATAACTAGCAGTTTTGAGGTATGTAGGGAAAAGGAAAGATAATAATACACATCCCCCAATCTTCAAGATTCATAACAAAACGGTCATATTCATAATCCGACCATGAAATCCCATTAGACATTTACCATTCCCACAAGCATCCCAGCAGAGCAATACTGCACTCAGCGGATTCCTCCTTCTCCCCCTTTCATACAAGGTGCTAAACTTCATAACCACACAGTGAGAGAAAAGTCCGACCACCACCCACCCAAGAATCCGTCCGATGCTATATAACCAACACCCAAAAGAGAGAGTATCACTCAGAAAGAGGCCCTCCTGACAGGCCCCGGTGCCGCAATCTCACTCAAGCACTCAATAGTCCCACTAACCTGATCTTCGGAAAGCATCCTTTCAAGGCTCAGACACTCACTCGCCGATTCAGTTTGCTGCTGTCGTGGAACAGGCTCGGGAAAAGAGACTTCGCTGAGCGCTGCGAAGGGGTCGTCTATGATTGGGGCAGATTGTGGAAGCGGATGCTTGCTTGCAGATCTGCTGGGTAGGTGGAAGTATGTAGTGAGGGTGTGTTGCAAGTGGAAACTTGGGAGGTTGCACATTTGTTTGAATTTCGTTGTTTGGCAAAGAGGGGCTTGTTTAGAGGGGGTAAGGTTGGCGCTTTGCAAAGGGCATGGATGTTTTAGGGTGGGAACTTTATACTCGTGATGACTGAGGGGGATGGGTGAAGTCTGGGTCTGATGTGGTTGTGGAAAGTTAGATTGTTATGTCGAGCTGGTAACCTAGCTTTAGGATTTAGAGAGGAAGGTTGTGGCGTATCCATGTCCTGGTTTGATCAATATGCTCTATGCAAACTACGGAGTAATACCCATATACGTATGGTGGTTACCTTATGGACTATCGTGAGTCAGAATTCGAATGGGGAACGCTCCGATGCTCTGATTCTCTCTGATGCTGACCCCTTTCAAACCTTCCAAATACAAGTATGTGACTTCCCAAGGGGCTTCTGTTGCCTTCTTGGAGAGTGAATTAGCGTAAGGCGCTCAGGCTCCAGCCAGGGCCGAAGGAGTATAAACCCCCCCCTCCTCCCCGCCATCCTCCTTCAACACCTCCTTCAGCACCTCCTTTGACTGTCCTTAATTGCACTGTCAGGAGCCATTACGCAAAGCACACCACTTGATTAACTCAAAAACCAGAAAGCTAAGGGCCATTGATTCGAAGTTGCTGTTACAAGGTCTAATATTGTCACAGCAAGTCGTGATATAAACATCCAATGCTATCTTTAACCAAGTTATAAAGCCATCAATCAGGCATTGTTAGCGCAGGAGAAACTCGCGTTGCTTGGATCGTCGTGGATGGCTTTGCCCGATACGTACAATCCTAGTCCGCACTGATATTCGTTAGCATATGTTTTAACAGGAGAAGGAATGGAAAGGAATGGAGATAGCCCACCAGACATCCACCAATGCCAACAATGATCAAATTCACTATAGTCAAAAATATCTTCCGTGGCGAAGATGTGTAATAGCCCCAGTTCATGAAAAGCCAGAAAATGCCGCTCATTCCATCTGTTTTGCGTGCATTAGCTTCTTGCCTTGAAAAACAGTGGGGGAAACTTACACGTAAACCAGCTGGCGAATAATGCGGTCCACGGGATAATCAGCATCATCGGATTCCAAACAAGAAAGATGGAATGTGCAACTTACTATCAAACTCAGCAGGTTGTTGAATACTGGGATCGCCTCGGCAATGATCCATGCGAGCGTCCACAGCACCAACCCGATCAGAATCCATGACCCTATAGACACCAGATTCCGCTTGTGCATGCGATCTGTATTGCGGAAGAGACGGACGTATATATACTTGCACGCCACATGGCCGTTGATCACGCCGGCAATGATGATCTAGTAGTCAATCATTAGTCGCGGTAGTATGCAATAATGGGGCGAGCTATACCGTCGGAATGGCGATTCCGTAGGCGATCTTCGAGACCAATGGACTAGTCGATCCCAGCGCGGGGGATGACACGTCTTTGCCGCCATATCGATAGATGACTAAAGCCGTGACGGTATACATGGTTGTATCAGTTGCCTGGAGCAGGTACAGGGTTTTGGGATAATCTGTCGGTGTTTCCATCTCAGAGATAAAACCAAAGAAAGCGACGTGGCCAGCTATGTCGCTGTTAGCATATGCTTTGCATGTGTCGACCCTACTCAGCGTACCATAAGCGAAGACGATGTTTGTCACGGCCAAAAAGCCCTTGTATAAACTGGTATCGACGGTCACATCGATATGTCCGTCGCCTGGTCGCTGGATTCCAATAGCGATCATGGTGATCAGAACGGCCGCTATAATACTGATGAACGCTGTTGTTGTCAGCTCGATCACGCTTCCTCAGAGTAGCTAACCTAACTTACAGGAAATCGATAGCCAGGATACCTTCTTCAGCGTCCGAGGCAAAGTGCAGACGAAAGACAGGATTAAGCCGACCACCCCGAACACAATGGAGCAAGTACCATGCTTGGTTAAAGTATTCATCATGACAGTGAAAGTTAGGATATGACTACCCATGATAAAGATCAAAAAGACCAACTGGGCAGTGCCCAGCAATTCGCGACCAAATCGGCCCAACAAGATTTCACCAGCATCCGCCATACTATGCACGTGGGGATATCGCAGCTTGAACTGGCCGAGAACGTATCCTGTGTACGTAGCTACCAAGCCGAGGCCTATGATGAGTATCACAGCCCTATTCAGCATAGCCAAGCAAGATGCTTAGGATCAGCCACCAAGCCACCAAAAGTCTCGACAGAGAGGGCGTTGCCAATGAACACTCACGGAACAAGGCCGAGCGCCGCCATGGCCGAAGGGAGTGATAAAATGCCCAGCGAAATAGTCTCGGCGATCATGACTGTCAAGTCAGCGAATTATCCGTGTTACCACAATATGGTCGAAACGTACTCATTCCACATTGCCTAGCGGAATCAGCAAGGCGTAATTAGAATTGCATTATGTACCTCAGATCTCATGGGAATGCATACCACCAGCGCAAGGTACGATATTTCACCTCTGCGAACTCTTCATCCCCAAATGGATCGTCATACATCGGAGGCGTTTCCCCATTTTTATTTTTCTTCTCGTGACTATAGGTGGGAGGATCTTCCACTTGATCGATCGAGCTATGTGCCATGGTGTATAGTGTCCGTATATCGTCTAAGATGATCAATGAGGATAATTAGTAGTAAGTACTCTTTAGGACGCTGAAACGAATTCGATCAATGATTGAGAGAACCCAGTCATTAAAAGCCCATCAATATGTCACGGACAGGAGTGAAAGGATCACGACGAGGGTCAAAACAGGGGCCGAGCGATTCTTCCAGGTGAGGAAGATGGAATGGCCTGAGCGACCGGAGTGCCTGGCACCACGACCTCATATGCATAGCAACACTTGGTCTGATGATGACTAGTACCATAGGTGCAAGTCTTCCATTGGGTTGACCGATATTAGCTCAACTAAGGACCCCAGACAGCTGGTTGGGGCTGTGGGGAACCCCAATGCGACGTGAATGCGGAGAAAGCTATTTAGGGTTGCGACAGTCATGGTAAAATTATGGCCTTGATTGGAAAAGGATTCATTCCTTTCGGTTGATGCCGCACGAGATTTCCTGTCCGAGGAATCCATTATATAAGGCCCGACGCTTTCGCTAGGCGGATATTACTGTTACTCCCTTCCTACGCTGCCACGAGTCCTCCACGTTCTAGCAATTTGATCACGGGATTTAATATATGGTTTTATCGATGTTGCATTGGATATTTATGGACATCCTTAGCCTATTCAAGCAAATTACTATTATTCCGACGATTAACATGATGAGAATCACATGTTCAGCATGGGAGATAGTAAAGTTGGAGTCCTGCCAATAGCATCAGAAGAGGATGCATTGTTTATTCATGCAATACTACTGTATCTCCTTAGGACGGTGGGCTATTATCGGTGACCTTTCAAGCCAGTCATCTTCATTTGACCCAGTTAACAAACCCCATGCTCCGATAAATCACTAAGAGACTTCATCAGCAATGCATGGGGATATGATCATTACCCTGTAAGCTGAAAGGAATGATACGGTGTAAAGATTCTCGAAGGGCCCATCGGACGTACAAACTCTTCTTCATTCACGGAAATAAGAAGATTTAACAGGAACAAAAAGAAAAAGAGGAAAGGCTCAAATACCAAATCGTGTCTATGATTCTATCTTGTCTATCGGGTATTATGCAAACAAAATAAGAAAAGCACGGTCTATCCGTCTATAAATGAGATGCAAAAGTATGGTGATGTTATCATGAAACCACACGGTCGCGGAGGAACAAGTCAATGCCAGCCTCAGCACAGGCCGCCCGGAGTGGCTCAGCTATCTCGTATACTCGAGGCTTGATAGCCTTCTGGCCCCCGGTAGTAGCCGCGCTCTCCTGGTACCCCGAGGCGTCTTCATCTTCCTCCTCATGGAAGAAACCCTCGATGTCCAAGCGTCGCAATCTAGAGAAGCGGGTCTGTCGCTTGTTGAGCACCATTTTCAGCTGCCCAATTAACATTCCCAGGGTGTTCTCTTTGCAACTTTCAATGTAGAGCGATTCCACCGATGGCGGCAAAACATTGGTAAGCACAGTAGAAGGCTCGGGTTGGTATCGAATATCAAGCAGGTTGGGTAGGCGAATGCGGATGTCTTTCAACGCGGTAAACTCTGCCAAGCTACCGAACCATTCGTCGTGGGTTTCATTAACCCCGGCAATAGTAAATGGCAGATGGTCCCCGTAATTATCAAGCCAAAGGGTATGTAGGCTATTCTTACTGCCTGCCAGCGACCGGTAAAATGCGGACGGCTGGAAGCCCTCGGCAAGCAGGTGTGAATCAGAGTGTTGATACTTGAAAGACTTGAGTGAGGAGCATGAAGCAATCAAGTTCTCCATCCCTTGGGAGCCATTGCTGGAGTTGAGAGTAATCTCTGAGATCAGAGAGGACCCGGCCACCGGGGCCTCGGCTGTTGATGTGTGCTTATCTTCTTGCGGAGGGTTAGACTCAATCACCGAATCCGCTGAAAATGTCCGCATTGACGGCAATCGGAAAAAAGGAAAGATCTGTGATGGCATATAACTGCCTTTGGTATCCTCCTCAGAATCCTGATGACTGAGAGATACCTTTTGCAACATGCTAAATGCGGGCTGCTCATCAAAGGGTTTCTCGCCCTTCATGACCCTCTGCAGCATTCGATCCAGGTATGCATTTTTATTCGGATATACCAGTCGCAGCTCTCTGAGGTTGTTTACCAAAGGCAAAAGAAGCGCTATCCAGGCCTCCTCAACGCCTTGAAGAAGATCCTGCTTCCATTTGACATATTCCTCAGGGGAATGGCTAATAGCCTCAGCCCATTTATTCAATGATGTCATGTCTTGCTCGGACGAAGAGAGAGAAGAAAAGGAACGATGTTGTTGCCAATCATCAAAATGCAAACTCCGCACTGACCGAGCCAGCTCGGGCTTACGGAGAATAGCATGTAAGAAGGATTGGGTCTGCGCACAACTCTTGAGTGTCGCAGACCTATAGACGAAACGCAGGAAGAGGTCATGGAAGCGTCGACATACAAAGACAAGGTTATACCGATCTTGGTGGTCTTCCAGAAACTCCCCGACCAGGAGGAGAACATCATTGGGAAGCGGCAAAGACATGATCAAGGAAATCAAGGAACCGACAACCACTACAGTATGAAAGACAATGCAATACAGTCTGGAGAAGAGCAAGAGTGGAACAATGGCCGTGGCCAAAGGGTTTAAGAACCGACCGCAAGCAGTAATCTGCCAAGATTGGATTGAACTGAGTTTTGCCTCATGTTCCCTTTTTCGAATTTTTTTGCCAACAGCCCTACTAAGCCTCCCAAGCACCAGCGAGCAAATTCCGAAGCAGATCACTGGGAAGAGCGGGCCAATGGGGCCGAGAGAACCACCACAGTGGGCGGAACTGGCGGAAGCCTTCAAAATCTTAATCGGAGATCGGTTGACTTGCTTCAATCCATGGTACACCGAAAGTGAACCAGAGATAGCCTGCAATTAAACACGCCATCCGTCCAAATCGGATGGTGATTCGCTTCGGGTTGCTCAGTGAGCTATTCGATCCACACAAATACATGGATACTGATAGTGACAAAGGATTCCCACATACAGTAGTTGATGGGGAATATGTCCTGCAAAGAATGTCAAAAAGACAGATGGACCAATCCTTTGCGATGACCTGCAGCGGTGATGGTGGTGATCTGCCGTGGCAGACTTGAATCCACCAATTTCCCCAATCCATCGCCACAGGAGAGTCGGTATGAGTTTCACAGTGGGGCCCTCCGCTAAAATGACTCCATCTTGCGGGCAAGCGACAATTCTTATTTCGCGGCGTTCTACTGTTAAACGGCAGTTACAGTTTTCGCGATTTAGCCGTCTCCATCCTCTCCACCCGTGCTTTATTGTAGACATTGAGACAGCGAACAAGTCACCCATATGAAACACACATGGATACCGCCTTAGCTATAGCCGCGGCAGCCTCGGAAAATTAGTTAAGATCAGCCAGCAGGGAAAGCGTAATCGGATTTGCCCCCGAGAGAAGAGTTGGGAATGTCTGCCAGTAGGAAATTCCTTTAATGGGATCAGGACACGTGCAACTCATTATCAAGGAGGTAATTTCCCCCCTGGTACGATAACGACCACTAGTAGTATGGAGTACAGCTTCAACCGGACTCCAATCACTACTTATTTTGGAGCTTTCTATCTCGCTTCTTCCTTTTCACTTTGGTGTTACTAAGTAACGTCCTACTTGATTGCATCCTGTGTCAGCAACTGCACATGTCAAACATACCATATGCAATCAGGCACTGCATTTGACGCAGGTTGACCTCATACAGCATCGGTTGACCAGTCGACGAGCGACTATACCCGACTAACATTACTATAGGAAAGCAAGGCGAGAAAGCATGGCATTCCCAATTATTGTTAGGCAGTAAGCACGAGCGTGTTAATGAGCCATTTTGTTTATCATTTTCAGTCGCCGTCGCCAATTGAAGTGGATTAACAACGACTTCTTCAGGGCGCCAGCGCAAAGCAAACTTTACTGTTGTGGAACCATTTCGTCGGCAGGCCTGCTTCTTCGGGCGGGAAAGTGGACTGGGATTTTTGCCATCGCAGTGGATCACTACGAGCAAGCACGCTGTAAAGGATGAATGGAATTCCGTGCTCCGGAGTATTATTTGAAGTTGTGAACTTCTCGGGCATATTCTACGGTGAGTCCACCTGTCAGAACCGAAGGGTCCCTCAGAAGGTGGGCCGGAAGGGGGTTTGCAGTTTTCACTAGAGAAGCATTCATGATTTATGGAGCGGTGAAAAATCATAACTGCGACAAGTGGGGTTGGTGCCTGAAAAATATGGAGTCGATGATACATACCCACTCCTTGCCAAGCGAGAATTTCGAGAGATCGTCGTCAGTGAGGGGGATTGGCATGGGGTGGTGGTCAAGACTGGAGATGGGCAAATCCCCGTGCTCTTTTCGATGTCGACTCAGCAGGTCTCTGACGATATACAGTCCAAGAATTCCAGGTGATTCCTCTTCCCCATCAGGAAGGTGGACTGTTACATGGCACAGTAGAATGTTTGCCGGGCCCACGCAGATTATCCGAGTTAGCCCCATGCTTCTAGAATGTCTGTCTGCCTTCTAGCGCTCGAATGTAGAGGGTCTGGCCCCGGAGCAGAACCTGTGCCATACAACCACTGACTTGAGACGTTCCTCACCTCATAATATCACCCTCTGGCAACATTGGTGCTGATAGAGATGTCTCGCTCAATACAGAAACGGGCGGCTTGGTGAGGGGGCTGTGAAAGCAGGTCATGCTGAATCCTCATCCCTCTGAAATCTTTCTGAAGAAAAAAATAAAAATAAAAATAAAATAAACCGCTTTGTCATCCAAAATGCCTGGCTAACCTCAGCAATAGCAGCCTATTCAAAGTGAATAAGATGACATTCAAGAGCATAGGGTAGAGATGAGGCAAAGTTTAGATAACACAATTGTGGAGGAAAGTGAAGAGATAAAGTTGGTAAGCTACAGAGTGCATGATGAACGGATTGAAATTCAGAGGGGATTGTCAACATAATTTGAGTAAAATGCTTGCTAGGCTTCGCCGTGCTACGCAATAATTACCACGATCGTAAAGACCAACGACAGGTCAAGTTACTCCAGCGAAGGAGCAAAGCTGCAGTTCCGCCAAGGAAACTACTCAACCTGATCAGTATCACTTCGGCGACAGTAACATGACGACTGGATTCGGACATCAGCTGTAGCTGCTGCAAGCTTCAGTTGCTGTTTGATAATGCGTGCCTCAGCGATTCGCCCAAGCTTAATAAGGCATTCATGATACCCGTGCAGCGACCACACGTTGTTCGGATGCTGCAGTGCACGAGGTAAGGTGTCATCTAGGCCCAGATCAGCACTATACACTGCCGACGCATCTTCAACCCGCCCTTGCTCAAGTAGAAGAGCACCGTAAGCATGCCGAGTTGGCTGCATCCATCCCCAAGGTTCGTCGTAAGGGAGACCGTCGTCCAGGGTAATGGAACGTCTTAGATGACTAAAGGCAGCATCATAATTGCCCTGGCGATACTCCAGTTCCCCATCAAGCATTGCCTCTGCAATGGCTAGTATGTCAATGCATTTGTTGTTGAACAGCATGCGGGTAGGCACAACACGCTCTAAGGCTTTATGGAAGAGCTCTCGTTCCTTATCTGCCTGGTCGACCTGTCCTGTCGCAGCGAACGCGACGCCTTTGCCGTAATGAATCATTGCGGTTGTCACACAGTATAGCTTCTCGTCTCGTGGAACGTCCAGATAGATGATATCCTGCCACCGACCGAACCGAATCAAGACATGCACCTTCATTGCCAAAAACCCTTCAAGCCAATCCGCCATAGGCGGTGACTCGCGACGTAGAAGCTCATCTGGGATGGATAACTCCAGCTCTTGGGCAGTATCTAGGGCAACCCTTGACTGGCCTGCGAACATAGCAGCATAGATCCTGAAGTGATAGTCATGAGACCGGTAAAGGGTATAGAAGTTAACAGCTCCTGCACGAGCGAGGAACTTTTCATCTGCTCGGATCGCTTCAGAGTTGGACGCAATTGCCTTCCGATAATCGCCACATAGAATATCCAAATGAGTAGGCATGTGATTGAGATGGCCCGCATCAGGGACCAATCCACGTAGGTTATCCGCAGCTAGAAGAGCCGTTTCGGGTGCGCCCGACATCTCCATCAGATGGATGTACATGTGCAACAAGCCAGGGTGACGGAGAGCTCCGTCCTGTGTTAACGCTCGTTCAAGCACCGTCTTGATCTCAAGGGTGCGTGCGGTTGGTGCCGGCTGACCAGTCTTCAGAACCCACAGCTCCCATGGTGTCAGGTTCATCAACGAATCTGCGTACAATGTTGCGACATCGAGGTCATCTGGGAATCTTTGATAGACAGATCCCATAGCATCGGCGTATCCCTGGTTCCAAGACGAGCAGTCCCCTAGTGGCTGATCCTGTGGGTATCGTTTCTGGAGGGCTTCGATAAGTGCCGACTCTACGGGTCTCGCCGTAATCCCGTGCTTTCTGGCCTCTTCAGCTGCTCGATGAGTGCGCTGGACTGTCAATTCTAATTCCCGCTGATCGAAGAACTGCCATGGCTTGTTGTAGTTGGGGCCTAGGGCATACGAAAGCCCCCAGTACGCCATGGCAAAAGTGGGGTCATGCTCAATGGCTTTTTCGAAACAGTGAACTGCCTCTTCATGGTTGAAAGCATATGTCCAGATGAGTCCTCGATCAAACCAGGTCTGAGCCTCGGGGCTGGCGGTGGTCACCGGCCGGTGGAACGACCCGAGGTTGTAGTAGCCATCTGAATTTTGGCTATGGACGCCCATTATAAATGATCGATTAAGTACTAATCAACCAACAAGGTGTTGGTATCACTTCCGTCAGATGTTGTTCGGCAGAAGGACGGACAGTGAGCCATGGGGACTTCTACAAGGTGGGGTAATGTTATTCGCCCGGCATAATCACGATAGCACTGCCCATAAGAATTACTTATTGTCTCCATACAGTCAATGTATCCCAAAAAAAAAACTTTGCATAGATTTCTACTCTGCCATGGATTTGGTTGGTCTAGGTGGCTATATACTTCAACACATTAAGACATTTTATTGTCACATGCTTCGTAAACAGCACGATATTGTTATTATTCGACGATCGAGCGCCAGCGATAAAGAGGACTTTTCTTGTTCCTTAGATCGCAAATTCAAGGCTCTTCATCGTTCGCAGATTGAATTGCCATGTCACCCAAAAAGATTGTATTTAGAAGCCATCATTGAAAAACGCCTCGTGCCAGAAACAAGAAGATAGACAGAGCCTGTGATAGCCAGTTCTCAAAGCTCATTTGACAATTCTCTTTCGTCCGTATCCTCACCGACGTATCTTTCCCAAGGAGACACAAGCTGGTATATGCATTTCGCTCTCGCATGGTGTTTCGTAAACGACGTCCGGTCGAACCTTTCTCTACCGCAGCCCCAAATCCGTCATCTCGACGTTGTCTGCCGATCCCATCCAAAGAATGTTGTTACACCTGTGTGAAGCCGGAGGTCAGTCCAAGTTTCCTTGCCATTGTGAAATTGAAATCAAAGTATAATGTGTCCTCGGGTAGAGAACTACCCTCCGCCAGGCTTCAGCCATGTAAGAGCAATAAGTAAGCATACCTAATAAGCACAAGTCCAAGAGTTCCTGTGTTCTTTCCATCAATGAACTCTTCCGTGTCCCGCAACAGCACGTTCATGTACGAGTCGATGCTCTCCAGCTTGCCCTTGTACTCTGTCTGACCCCACTTAAGGCGAATGACCATCTCCGTACCGACCCTACAGCACATCTGTTAGATAGGTAAGACTCGCGGCATCTGGTTTAGGCGAAAGAAAAGCTCAATGTGATCGTTAAAGTGCGATGGGATGATATTGACGCGTACCTAGTCTGCAGAAAAGGGCGGGGATTGACCGGTTGGAACTACAAACGAAGTCAGTATAAATTCATAACCCCTGTGTTGATAAGTCCTGCTGGACTTGAATCATAAAAAAAGAGCAAGTACTAGATACTGACACTCATGGCTATGGTTGGCTGGTCGGGGTCTGCGACTGAACGGTTTTAAGGATAGCGTAAGCCGTTTGATGATACTTTGTCGATTCGACAAGAAGATTATCAGTCAGCTGAATCAAGGACTTGTTCCAGCGTCGAGGTAACGCTTGTGCTGGTCGCGTGTTGAGCTCGTAAAAGGATTATCGCGGTCGCCAACTCTCGACAGGCGGATTGAAGGTTCCTTGTCAGCGAAAATGAAATATTGCCGGTCTCGAAGTAGCCAATAAAACTATGCTCTTGGCCACCGCCTTTATCCAAAGACAGATGGAAAGCTTTAAGTACATTCCACAGCTCCAGTAAAAATTGCACCCATTATTGCCATTCACTGATCCTTCTTAGCTCCTTGTACATGACGCTTACGGCTGGTATCTCTCATCATGTAACGTTCCCCATGTAGTACGAAATTATCGCGCTGCAGAAGGAATGGCATGACGATACTACTAAATGTTTTTAGCCATAATCAACAGGCAATTTAAACAGAAAGAATAATTAGACAAGTCAGAATGTTATTGTAGACCATACAGCCATCAACGGTGCGGTATCCTCAGTAAAGAGATCTCTCAAGCTCTTTTCACCTCCCAGGTAATTTCCTTGATGGCAACTTCATCTCCAGCTTTCTCGTCATAGTCATACCACTCGCCCTCAGACAGGTCGATGGCAGTAAAAGGGGTGGAAGACTCGGTGCCCTTGGCCTCCCAGTCGCCCTAGGTCACCTGTTTAGGATCACATCCGATCGTTTCCAATGAAGAAGCGCAACTCACATCAGCTTTAAAATCGGTAAATTCAAGACCGCGGCAGTCAATTTCGATCACTTTCCGGCCCTTGCGCTTCTCGTCTGCTTCGTACACGTTGGGACCTGCAACAATAGAGGCGGAATGGGTTTTCTGGTCACACTTGTTAGCTGCAGGCAGGGCGAGGCGTTTGAAAATGAACAAACTGACTTGGCAAAGCTTGCATTTCCAGACAAAGTTCGCCTCTCCGCGGCTTCCAGGGATTTCATGTTGCTCCTGTATGGTCCATACTTAGCTTGAGTCAAAGTAATTTTTAAGAAGTAATACAACGGTTAAGGGGAGGAGATACGCCAAATAGGACTTACAAAACGGTTGAAGCTGACCCAGTTTGGGTGTGTCTCCCGACAGGACGTGCATTGTACCTTGAAAGTGTAGTAGTAGGGATTCTCATCAGTATCTTGAGGGCGAAGCTCGGTGACTCTATACCAGGGTGAGCTACTGCCAGCGATTGTGTTATATATGGTGAGGTGCGGGGAAGCTATGCAAATAAATACGGACAGAGCAGGGAGAAGCAAGAAATGGAGCTTTTCATAATTTTAAAACCACACCTAGAACACACTTACCCTGTGAGTTCAGCTGAAAGGACTAGAGAAAGCATCTTGTTGGTTGTCTGTTGGTACAGTTGCAATGCTGAGCGCGCCGTTGATGAAGATCTTGATAATTGATCTGTGCGGGGGAAGGACTTCCGCAAAGAGAATGATTTATATAGCCACAGTGGGCATCTTCCGCGCACACACCACCAGGAACGTCATTCCTGGTAACACAACTAACAATACAGAGTATCATCTGAATTAAGGTCAAAACACACAAGTTTATGTTCTAAGAGGAATACTTCTATTGCAGGTATATATACAACGAACGCTAAGAATGCGGGTCATACATAAGTGCTCAGGCTAAACAGCCGATATGACAAGAAAGGAAAACCAAAGGTGCTATGTACATCAAAAAACTACAGGATAGACAGGTTCATCGTGAATCACAGACGGCTTTGCTGTTGGTCCTGGCCCAACGGCTTGGTCGAGAAAGCGTTAAAGTAGGCGTTCAGGGCATCCGCGGTGCCGCTGCCTTCCACTAACTGCACGGTACAGGCAACATGGCTGTCTGGGCGGCAGACAACCACACCGCCCATCTCGGGGTCAAAGCCAAGCTTCTCGTGTGCGGCGAACTTGGCATTAGGGACTCTCACGTCGGGGATGTCGTCCGCATAGATGTGGTGATGGTAATCGCGGAGAATCTGCGGCACAGCCTCCATGTCGACCTGGTTCTTCTGCGCAGCGTATACCAGACAGAGAGTGAAGAGCTTGGAGTGAGGCTGGTGACGCTCAAAGAATGAAACATCAGCAATATCGGGTCTACGGTAGACCGATAGGAACGAGCGTTCCTTTTCCAGGTTTGCCGCAAGATCGGTGATGGCCTTCTTTGTCTTCTCCTGTTTACCTGCGAAGATAAAGATACGGAATGCACCATTGGCTGGCACCTCTTGCTCCAGATGCACAAAGTTGGCATCTGCCAGTCGAGTAACTGTCGAGGGCGTGAAAGCGCGTCCTGCGGTCAGTCTCACACCGGGAACGTCGAATAGTGACGACTTGGCCGGGTGACTAGAATCCCAGTTGAAGACGTTAGGCTTGTAGGCAACACCATAACCACTGGTGAATTCGCATGATGATTTGAAGGTCTTAACAAACTCATCCTCCTCTTCACTGCCAGACGCAACAGTGGCATGGCTAGCGGAGCCAACCTCTCCGGCAGTGGGGCGGCGTTTGGAGAACAGGGCGGCGTATTTCGCATCAAAGTTTAGCAAAGTCTCTGCAATGTCTTTGCGCTCAGTTTCATATGTGCTCAGAATAGAGCGATCGGCGAGTCCAGACTCGACAGCATGGAGCTTCCAAGCCATGTTCAAAGCGTCGTGGAATGCAGTGTTCATACCCTGGCCGGCCTTGGGCTAAAGAAGAGTTAGCGCGAACAAGAAACGTATTGTTTAAAAATGGCTTGACATACACTGTGAGTGTGGCAGGCATCTCCGCCCATGAAGACCCGCTCGTCCAGGGTGTACTTCTCCGAGATACCCTGACCAATTGGGTAGACAGAGTACCACTCCACGCGATCCCATTCGACCCAGTATGGCTTCAGAATCTTCTTAGCAGTCTCTTGGACTTCCTCCGCAGTTGCTGTCTTTCTTGGGTTGAAGTCGGGGTCCGAGGATGAAGCGATCTGGACATACAAACGGACCATGTTGTCCTCACGGGGAATGACCATGATCGAACCAGCATCAGAGTGGATGGTGCACTTGGTCTATTTTTAAAGTGAAAAGTTCGTTAGTGCTTGATTAGTTGAACTATGGAGATTGGGTTTTTCTCACCTCGATATCAGGGAAGTTCGTCCTCACTACACCGTCCATAACACCCCACACATATGAGATAGGATCCTTGTGATGAATTTGGATCCCAAGCTGCTGTCTGACAAAACTCCGGGCTCCTTCACCACTGAAGAGGTACTTAGAGCGGACCGTCTCGATGACATTGGTGTCAAGGCACTTCAGCTGCACTTCAACGGGGTATGTCTCGTCCAAGCCATCATTCTTGAATCCGGTAATAGTCCAGGGTCTCTCAACAGTGGTACCAGCCTTTTGGATCTCGTCCAAAAATACCCGCTCGATCTTTCCCTGGTGGACAAGGGTTGTGAAAGGATATCTGGTATCAATGAAACGTGGGCAACTAGGCCAGCTGCCAGTGCGATGGATACCTTGATCCCCGGTGAGAGGATCCCAAAATGCGACATCGTAGACCTTAGCGGGCTTGTAGGCCATGATTTGGCGCTTCAAGCCGAGGTTACGGAGAATCTCAGTGGAACGAGGCTGGATACCATCGGCGCGACCTGTGGCAGTGGGAACTGGGCGGTTGTCGATGTGCTTAACCTTGTAACCCCATCGTGACATACACAGGGACAAAAGAATGCCAACAGGGCCTGCGCCCACGATTACAATATCGTATTTCTCTTGCGTTTGAGCCATGCCGGCGGCGAAATGCGAAAATTAAGCTTTTGGTTGCTTTGGTATTCGCGACTGTGGGGATGAGGATCGACAAATGACAATATGAGGTAAGGGTTTTGGAATGTTGGAAAGATCAAAACGTCACCAACATGAATATTTAAAAAAGTTTAAGTGAAAGTGTTACAAGGAGAATAAGTGAAGCTCAAAGGGTGAAGCGCTCATTTATAAATAAATGAGAGCTTGGGGTAGGGTCCCGAGGAGCAGTATCGAAGCCTGCCACGGAGAACCACAACGGCATTCATTTTCGGTTGGATCGACGGGAGATGCCATACATAGTTGCTTAAGTTGGGGTATCAGGTAATGAATTGCAGTAGGGTAGGGTCCCGGTCTAGTAAGCAATAGGTAACGGTGGCATGTCATTGGGGGGAAGCAGAGTAACCACAACGGAGCGTGTGGGGAAGAACTGAGAACGTCAGTGCCGTCGTTCGTTCCGAGAGTCTGGAGTGCCTGCGGAAGCGAAAGTCGGCATGTGGAGTATGTGCACGTGATCTACAGCATCGGCAAAATCGCCGGGATTTCTGCGCTGATTCTGCCGCCTATCATTGGTCACTGAACATGCCGATGCTTTTGCCTTACAATTTAACTGATGGGACTCCTGTGTACGGAGTGTAGATGGGGAATATAGAGACAGGCACGGCGATTGTGGGAGGCAGATGCATCAGGAACACTAATCGGTGAACCCAGTTGAGTGTTGATGCTTCACAAGTTCGCTTAAAGGACTTATTCGCCCATGACTGAGGGTAGTACAGATTTCCACCATCCAATCGACAATCATCTACTAACGCTTATGCCCACTTGTAAAACCCCGGAACTACCGTGTTTACCATCCAGGGTAGTCGGTTTGAATCCCACTTTACCGTCTTGATTTCCTTGACTACTCCGGAATCAAGCATGTCGAGTTGCTTAGGTGAAGCTCCCAATTGGCGAAACAGTACTGCTCTTCGCTATCCATTTAAGGACAGTGGCCTTCGGGAATGAAGCTCACAGCAGCGGTGGGAGAATATGCCTCAATGCTTCTCTCTAGACTTTTCTAGGAAACTCCTAAGACATAGACATTACCTAGGATAGTAATAGAGCCTACTCTGGCTGTAGTCAAAATAGAACAAGCAATTCATATGCTTCCATTGCGGCTGGGACGACTTTCTACTCAGAAATTGAAAACATAACATTCTGGCCAATAAAAGATCATGATATCATGGGACTAGTGCCCGTGTACTTTAAATCAAATCGGCAATTTTCACGGCATGCCGAGCGGACCGGACAATTGGCAGAGCAACTTCCTCCTAACATCACCTAATAAGACGTACAACACAGGAAAAGGAATAAAAGAATCTGTAGAGTGTGTGAACCTCGCCTCAAGGATGGAGGTAATATAAAGCACGCTTTACTTACCTTCATAACAACGAGGCTTCGGGGAGGACTAGAGCATGGACTATGATTCTCCACGAATTGCTATACAGTGCTATATCGAAAGCGATGAGTCAGTGTTGGATTGAGCGAAGAACGTAATTGCGCATACTCTTAACAAAAAGGTCTAGTGTTGGTGTGTTCTTGTGTATTATTAGGAAGGGTTGTATAAAGATGTGGCTTGAAACACAATAATACTACTAGTCACTCAATTATGCAGTCACAGACACAATCTAAACGACGTCCTATTGTGACTGTGAATACAACACCTATCATGAAACTTGCTATTATTGTCAATACAGTACTATTGAATAGTACAGGACACTTTCCTCATTGAAAAATAGGGTATTCCAAAGTTAGCCACTATAGACCCGAATTAACCCATTCTCGCCTATAATTCTATGTCTTTGAAGGCTTCAATAATAGTATTGAAGCCCATGGAATATGGTTAATCTTGTCAAATTTCGTACTTGATTTCTATCCTGGCTTTTAGAATCATGCCACTCTCTATACCCTTCCTTGCCGCAGCAAAGACGTCAACATCCTCTTCATTCTGTCCAGATTGCGATGAAATTTTCTTCGTTGGAGATCCCCATCATGCTTAGTCCAGCGTGAGTGATTGGAAATACCGGCCGACAAGGTTTGAGATACTAACTGCTGCAGCCAAACACTTCCCTATGAGGACGTCGCGAAACTTCATCCCTTCTATGAGGAATATAGATCTTTCTGGAACACGTCCCCAAAGATGGAAGATACCACTCTCCCTTCAGATACACCAACGAACTCTTCGCGTTCAATTGGGTCTAGGTTAGAATCTGATCAACCTCTCTGCTCCCCCGAAACCTCGTTGCTTCCTCCGGTACGTGATTTCCAGCCATTCTCTGTCGGAGCCTCTGCAGCAGAAAGACTTCACGTGGCTATTCATGACGGGTATGAGTATACACCAACCTACAATACACACCCAGAGGCCTTGGCCAGTCAAACCGCTATCCTAGAGTATGATTATCCTCGCAAGCAACCCTTGTTACCTGTGCAAGAACCCATTGATATCTGCGAGCGCAAGTTGTTTGAACTATACCACATCAACAGCTCGCTTGGCCAGACACGGTCTTCGCACAAAAAGCTTTTTGGGAGAAACGGTTGGCTCGGGAGAACAGCAGACTTAGAAAACCTATCGAGTGAGAAACACAGATCAAAGAATCTCAAAGATCTGCGAAAAAAGATAGTGGATGGATTTGTAGGTCTCTTTGCCTACCAAATGACCTTGTTTGGTGTACTAATGTTGGATTAGACCGAGGGCATTGCGAAGGCTTCCCAGACAATCGTTCATGAACCCCGTGTCATGAAAGATCACCTACCACAATCGACTATTCCTATCTCACTGAATCCTCCAATACAAGCGATGCTGTATTCAGAACTGGAGGTCATGATATGTGTCAGTGCAAATGTATTTCTCGTTGAACAATATCATGAAGGTCGACTTTCAGGAGAATCTATCAAGAGAATCAAGAACTACTGGGGATCCAAGAATAGGCCATCAGTCGTCGAGTTCCAATTTGATCAGGCCACTCAACAGCGCTTAATCATGGAAAACAAAAGGTCTTTGAGGTTTCATGGAGAGAGCTCGACGAATCCAGTCCTTCTCAGCTCCAACCTCCATAACTGGAAAGCAATCGTCAAGGAGATGAGCATTCGCACTTTCTGTGCTCCTGACAGCATGATCCGCAAGCATATGCACGATGTTTCTAAGCTCCTCGACATGCTGGGAGCCCCCATTTCCACTTTAGTTATTTGCCAGAAACTGCACATGCAAGCACTGTCCTTAATGGGGCACCGCGTCGAGAGACGTAATTATGCCGACCGACAATAGTGACAACCCAGTTCCAGGTCGAGGCAATGGCCCCACGCAAAGGTAAGTTTAGGTACCGGCTAGTTAGGTGGAGCGTGGAGCTAGACACAGAAAGACATTCACGGCCACTCGTGTTATTCAGATTATTGCTTAGTTCTGTGATCGTTCTGCTTCCTTTGGTTGACCGTTGAGCGTCGCAGCTTTGTTTTCAGCTTTTGTTCTTCTTGCGGGTGCTCCACATTGCATCGGATTTCGGTCGTTCACTTAGCAACACCTTCATATAATCGCTTTTTAAAAAAAAATAACAACAATATTTCTTCCTCAAAATGCAAGGCCACTCTACACCAAACTCAAGGGTTATTGGGAGTTGTGCTCCTAAGACTGCAGACGACGTGTCTTTTTGATTTTTTTGGGCCAACAAATTCCTGCGGGAAGCAAAGGCACGTGGGACGACGTCATAGGCTCAGACGCGGACCACGAGCAAAAAAAGACACTGTTGGCCAAACATGCACGCCTGTCGACCCTTGCCTGCAAGAAGACCGCAATCTGGATCTCAAACGATGCTTGCCTCACCTTTGTCACTATTGTTCTTATAGTTTATCCTCCCTATCACGCACGCTAAGCTATCCAGAAGCTATCGTTTATCCTGACCCTCCCTTACTGACGCGAGTTCTAGACAACGCTACAGACCGCTAATCACTGCGTGTTTCAGCAATGCTATCCTTATGCTGGTAGATTTTATTTCCGTGCCCCTTAGTTTTTCCTTTAAAGATCCCAGATAACAAGCGTATTCGGTATTGCGCGGAGTGCCCATAATGACGGGCCCCATTCATACTTACGGTCCGACATGTCTTCTGGCAAATGACGATCCTGATCCTTCTTCCTGGCATTCATTAGACAAGCCACCGAAAGTTCGCCCTCAGTTCTTCTACGTCTCCTCATTACCTATCGACGATCCATTGACCGCTTTACCTCCGCCGTCCAGCAACCAAGGACCGGGTGATGAAAGAGCTCCACCTCAACCATTCTCGGTCAAAGATAATATCGCACTCGAGGAGTCCTGGTTATCTTTGTTACATAATACGAAGTCCGAACTAGCGGTGGGAAAGCATCCGCGTGCGGGCTCTTCATCCGTCCGAAATGCGGGAATAGCGGTACCTGGGAAGGATTTCCTACTCGACACAAGTTGCAAAGGGCAGTCTGGAAGCCATGGAGATAAGAGTTGGACTGGGAGTCATAAAAGTTACCCGAGTGTTCCTGGCAGTGTTCTAGGCGATGAAGCATGTTGCAGCCCAGAGGCAAGCGTCAAGGATTCCGGAGACAGATCTCGTATTCCCTATTCTTCAAATCGCGGTATGGGTGAAAGCGATAGATCGGGCATTCTTAGTTATCGCAAGAGAGAGTCATCCCCTAGCGGTAACCCCAAGTCGACTAGACGCAGGACTGCTGGTTCCCCGCAGAGCGAAGGTGCAGCTTCAGAGGGTGTAGAAAGCACAAGCTGGCGCGGCTTCCCCTCTCGTGGTGGAACCATCAGTGGCTCGCCGTTTGCAAGGGCCCCTCTAAGTCAATCTGAAAGCGTATTTGGGCGCTCACTTGAGTCTACTTCTTCAAAAGATGGAGATCAAGTGCCTCGAGCTGATCACCAAGCCAGCACATCTAGCCATGCCACACAGAAGCCATCGGGCTTGAGAACGAATGTATATCAAGAACAGGCTCCAGATGGTTCTGTAGATGGCTCTGACAATTCTAGTGATAACCAGGAAGCTCAGCTGAAGATTCCTGTAGGTGTATCGCGGCTCCATCTAGTTGAACTACCTAATTTGAAGGTAAGATTTCTGTGTTTAATGTCCCTTTCGTTCAGAGTCTAGCGTTAAACTTGATAGATGAAACCTATATACTGGAGTCCTCTACATGATATCTCAAGCGTTCTTCGTGCAACATGGTTCTATAAGAATACCATGCTGCCCGTGGAAACGGAGCTTGCCAATAAACTCGAGGATGGATATGTATATCTGAAACCTTGGTCCGAGACATGGCAAGATGAGCTCAATAGCTGCGTGGAAAATGGCGCAGACGCCGAAATGAAAATAGTACACAAATTATGGCCGAAAGACGATACAAAGCGTCTCAGTTCAGTCACTTTAACGCGTGATCAAGAAACTTCAAGTCCTGTTCCGGGCGGACCTGAGAGAGTTGCCACCCCTAATCCGGCTATCGCCTCTCTTCATGAGTGCCGGGCTGCCGGTGGACCAGCTGCACATTCGGAAGCTGTCAAGCAGTACATCAATTCTAGTGTGATTTATGTTGATGGTAGAGATGCGCAGATTCTTCGACCCAGCTTATTACCATCGGTATCGAGAGGAAGAAGGCCACTTAGTGCAATTCGTAAAGGGCGGCAAATTGGCATACCGGTTATTCGTGGCTTCAATCGACGATTATGGGACCAGCTACATCCATCTAAGCCTAATCCTGTTGATGTCAGGAACTACCTTCGCAGTACTCAGTCCCGCACTATGTCCACAGCAAGTGGTGGTAGGCAGATTTGCTATGCTTGTGCCATAGAAGAGATGCGTCCCACACCGACTGATCTAGTACTTGTCATCCATGGCATAGGTCAGAAGCTGTCGGAACGTATGGAAAGCTTCCACTTCACACATGCTATTAATGCCTTTCGCAGGAATATAAATATGGAATTGAATAGTGAGCCGGTGTGGCCACATGTACGCCAGGGTCATGGAGGTATCATGATCCTCCCTGTCAATTGGCGGTCGACTTTGTCTTTAGAGGACGCCAATTTCGACTCTCAGGGCGTTGAGGATCCAATTAGCAATAAGTTCACCCTGCACGACATCACTCCGGAGACGATACCTGCCGTTAGGTCTTTGATAAGTGATGTCATGTTAGATATTCCTTATTACATGTCGCATCATAAGCCGAAGATGATTCAGGCAGTTGTCAAAGAAGCCAACCGCATATTTCGGCTATGGTGTAAAAATAACCCTGGTTTTCAACAAAATGGCCGCGTGCATTTACTTGCCCATTCCCTCGGAAGTGCAATGGCATTAGATATACTCAGTCATCAGCCCACACATGTACCCGATATTGATTTCGCCAAGACTAGTATTCCTGGAGACATCTTCGAATTTGACACTAAGGACTTATTCATTTGTGGAAGTCCAGCTGGATTCTTCTTACTGCTCAACAAAGCGAATCTTTTGCCGCGGCGTGGGAGGGAGAAACCTGGCTGCGAAGGTGATGATCTAGTGCGTGGTGTGGCAGGAGAAGCAGACACATATGGATGTTTGGCTGTTGATAACCTCTACAACATTATGCACACAACTGACCCAGTCGCGTACCGTGTTAACGCCGCCGTCGACAGCGACCTAGCCAACTCACTTAAAGTAACTTCTATTCCCAGCACATCAGCATCATTCTGGAAGTCATTCGGTAGCGTGTTTCGTTGGAGTTCAGCTCCATCCATAATGGCCGCCGCTAATGTAGCACCATCTCGTCCTGCCGCCATTTCAAAACTTCCCTCCAATGTTGAGCTTGAAACCCACGACTTCACCCGCGAAGAGATCGCAGAAAAACGTATGCTTCTACTCAATGACAATGGCCAGATAGACTACTACCTTTCCGGTGGCGGCGGACCCTTAAACATCCAATACTTGAATATGCTGAGTGCGCATAGCAGCTACTGGACCCTTTCAGATTTCGTGCGATTCCTTGTAATAGAAATCGCTCGCAAGCAAGGTAAAGATCATACCATTCCTGCGTTTCGAGCTGAGAAGAAGAAGAACTGGAAAGTCCACAAAGGTTGATCAATGTGGATGGTCTTCGTACTAATCATGCTGCTCCTTCTATCTGTTCGCAAATTTATAGCGGTCGAGGTGTTATTTGGTGTGATGTCATGTTCGGAAGCGTGGGATAGACTTGGATCTTTTTATTTCCCTACTTTCACAGATGATGTGCTGCTCATCATACCTTAGGGAAGTTATTCGGTTGTTAAGACATGATTTTAGCTAGGCTATGCTGGATACCTTTCTCCTTTATTCAAATTGATGTAAGAATACGTCCAATCATGGAATCGGTGTATTACTATAAGCCGTATTAATCATCATGATTTTGATACCATGAGTCAGGGATGCTTTCCGGTCATTTTGTTCGCACTATAGAGGCATAAGAACATCCCGATGGCATATGGATACTAGTGGTTAACGTCAGTCAAGGCTTGGTTTCTATTGGTTCCGGAGCTTCAGCTGGGGAGGTGAAGAATGGTAAAGCATACGGCTGGACAGGTTCCGCCGGATTGATATTCACGGTGATATCAGGTTGGAAACTCGATGCCAAATGAAGTGATGCTTATTTTCTGGCCCGTCATGAGTTTTAGAACCTAGGGCATATTCAATAACAGACACTGGCGGTGTAGCTCCTTTACGGAAAGCCTGTTTTCTAAACTCTATATGTTGTTCTATGTAAGTCGTGCAAGGTTAAGCCCTTCCTTTACCAGGCCCGGAAGCATAGGCGTGGTATTTTTTATTATGTAGAGCTGTTTATTTTCACATCATACGCTTCCATTTATTCGTCAATAGGCAATGATGGCCCCACCAACCCGAACGATTCCCAGCAAGGAACGAGAACATCAACATCCCCCATATCCTCAAGGGTGATGGAGGAAAACTCATCAAAGAATATGCCAAGCTAGACCCTGAAAGAGCAGAGAAACATGTCAAACACATTGTTCGTAATTCATCCATAACCAGAGACAAAACCAACATAGTTGCTAACGACAATAGGCCCACCAAGCCTGGGTCATCTCGTAATACCCTTGTTTTCAACACTACCAATTTCTTCAGTCCGACCTATCCAGGCTAGGCTGCATGTTTATAGTTGAAGATTTTCTTCGAGGATAACCCCGCGACTTGATAACTTTGCTAGCCGCGTTAGACTGATCAATTCCGGCTATTTCATGCACTTGTTTGATTGGGATACACAACTACATACTGCAAAGCGTATGATGAGGTTAGCTTGCCAGGAGAAGGGGGTTATCATCACTGGTATTAATTTTTGGGAGCCATCCACCTCGGGATTCGGATCTGGTTCCTCCAGGCCTTCCTTCGTAGTATTTACATGATCAGAGGAGTTTGGCTAGGTTATAGGACTTGGCTGCGAGGGAGGCCAGAATGAACTAGAGGTTTCGATCCGTTGTAGAATATGATGAGTACAGTAAATGCTTGATCCTGAGGGATGTCGATTGAGGTGGTGATCCAATGGTTGTGAAGGGGGTTCATGGGATCGTGCTTTTGGTGTCTAGCATTCATCAAGTACCGTTTCGAAAGTCCTTTGGACTGAAAAGCGATGAGGTAACAATATTCGAGAGTACATTTCTTAGGACTAAAATCGAGATAACATGATTCCACCGGTTACTGGGAGATGACACCCTATAACGGTGGTATAATATATTATCACTGAACAACATTTACTGCGCTGCTACAACCGGCCCCAGCATTAATGCCTCTACCAACACACCCTTTTCAATCTGTCCAATTCCTGGTCGAAGCACTAAAAGCGCGTTTGCGCTCGCTAGACTTCCTACCCTAGAGCTCCGCTGCCCAACTCCCCCCAAGCCTGTGCTAGAGGCGTGCAATCGGCCGTCGGAACGAGACGCTGTTACAATGGCCCGGTGGTATTCGGTGCGCTTGGGATCCAACGGGATCGCATGTGCCAAGCTGACCGAAACGAGTGGTAATCCAAGTGCTGAAGATAAGCCAGGCGCAGTTTGCTTTTCGCCCATGCCCATTAGTTTGTAGAGAGAGGGGAGTACGAATAAATTGAGTGTCACGAGCGCCGAAGCAGGGTTTCCAGGTAATGAGAAAATAAGTTTAGTCTCACGCTCTTGCTGGAGTTGCTGAGTTGACGACGTTGGTTTGAATGGGACCGTGGCGAATGTGGTCGGCTTGCCTGGTTTCATGGACACGCGGCCGAAATGGATGGTCCCGCCTAGTGTACGTTCGATAGTGGGCTTCAGCAGGTCGAGCTCACCCATTGATACGCCGCCGGTGGTGATAATCACGTCGACGCTGGAATTTGCCCGCCCCACTCCACGAAGGGCATCCCGAAGGCTCCGTTCCAGCTCACCTGCTGGTGTATCACGAGCAATTCCCAAATCAACGGTGGGGAAGCCCCAAGAGGCAAGGCATGAGAGGAGAGATGGACGGTTGGAGTCTCTAATTTGTCCTCCATGGAGCTTTCTCGGGTCGTCGTGCTCAACCAGCTCATCTCCAGTACTTAGAACACCCACACATGGCTTCTTAAAGACCTTGATTGTTTTTGCTCCAGATGCTGCTAGTAGACCGATCTCGCCGCCGACTGACGTAATGAGGTCTCCTTTCCGAAGGATTTTCGATCCCAGTGCAATATCACTGCCAGGCTCACGGACATTCTCGTTTGGTTTAATATCACCAGTCAATATCTCTACCGTTGCTTCCTCTTTACCATCAGGAGTCGATGAAGCGAGCACTGTATCCTCAACCATTACTACAGCGTTAGAATTCGGTGGGAGAGGAGCCCCTGTGGTGATCCTAGCGATAGTTCCGGGCTCGAGGGGTGACAATGACGCTCCTGGATTGGCGTAAGAAATAGAGGCCACAGGGAAAACCCCCTTTGTACTTGGTCCAACATCTGCTGTCTCAGGTGCGATCACAGCGTACCCATCTACAATGCTAGCTCGGTACGCTGGAACAGCTTCTGCAGCATAGACATCCTCGGCAATGACCGATCCGACCAAGGCAGTGGTTACGGGAACTTCAACAACCACTGGATCAGGGGTTTGTTGGCTAATCACTCCAAGTGCTTCATCCACTGATAGCATCGGGTACGGGGATTCGCGATATCGTCGATTCGGGCCTGCATTGGGATCATTTGATTGCGGTCTCTCCGATGGTGACGTATGTGCCTTCGGGGCAACATGGCCATGTCCATGACCATGAGAATGAGAATGGTGGTGGTGATGGTGATGGTCGTGTGTGTGTTCCGTTTTGCTGCCCGAGGACAACCCTGCTTCAGCTTCTAGCTTCTTGACACCGCCTGCATGAATGGCTCGAGAGTTGGCGCCAGCTGCTTGAGTGCACGCATGCGGCAGAAGCTTGAAGATCGCGTCGAGGTTCTCTTTAGCCCCTTTTGGCGAGCCAGGTAAGGTAATAACCAACGTTTTGTCCCTAACACCCGCAACAGGCCGAGACATCATTGCAACTAGAATTATTGTTAGCGAGCCCTTGAGTAGTAAGTCATATGTATACCAGCTTACAAGGTGTGACTTGCAAAGAAGCGGCAATCATGCCATGACTTAACAATTTTACGGTCAGTAATCACCGTATAATCGGTCTGAAAGATAGCTAACGCAACTCACACTAGGCCAGGGGCATGGCGATGAATCAGAGGCGAGACAGCCTAATTAACGACTTTAGCAAAGCAGAGTAACTCTGGGGTAGGTTTCAACGAACCTCAGGGGTGTTATCCTTGACCGCAAAACCCGTACCACCACTCAAAAGGATGACATTCACCCAGTTTGGTCCATCTGTCCAGTCACAAATGGCTCGTTGGATATCGAGTACATTATCAGGTACGATCTTAGTGGCCGGTCGATCCCAAGTATTTGACCCCTCCGTAGAGAAGAAAGACGTGAGAGTGTCAGCAACTCTATCCGTGGAAGGATCCTTAGAGGCAGTATCTGACACGATCAATATTGCTGCCTTGAGTTTGTCGTTTGTCATTCTGGGTGCTACCTTGTTGGAATTTTGAGAGTTGCCAGTGTTAAGAGGAGAGTTTTGTCGGATGCGGGGAACCACTTGATGATACCCTCCGAATATATACTAGTACTCCGTAGGATAAATGCCATTTAAATCGCTCAAGCTTATCAATGTCAACAATGCAACGATTGCCAATTGACTACAAACGCTTAATAAAATAATGTGAAATCTGAATCAGTGCTATACATAAGAGTGCGCTATCGTATTGATAATATCGGCACTTCCATTACTTCCCGGCGCCTGTTACTGTACACCAACCCAGACATCATGGCAAACCGGCGGGACAATCAATGCTATTCACGCATACCCAAAAGACTCTACAGTCAAATCGGATCCATACGCCATAATGCAGTATATAATAGAACACCAGAACAAAGTGAAGCTGTAACATAGAAGTCATACAATGGTTCCTACCCCGACTCGCATGGTTTTCTCTCGGAGCAAACCCCCTCTCGTCAACCATTAAGCAGCCTTACTTAAATTCGTTAGCCTTCTGTGTCACCAGAAGCCCGATGATAAGGCCGAATAAGCCAAGGACAGAGCTGAAGATCTCGATAACAAGGATCTTCACAAACCTGCAAAAATGTTAGCTCACTTACTGTTCCGACATAAATTACGGATGGGGCGAACGAACAAGCTTCCATCAGCAGCATCGGCAAGAGCTGCGCTGCTTCCATTGATACCGACAGAGATACCACAGATCAAGTTGCACATGCCCACAGTGATACCACCCCAAAAGAGTGCGTATCCGGTATACTGGTTGCTGCCGGAGAAGATTTCGTCATCGCCAACGAGATTGAGCTTCGAAGAGAAAACGATTGCCATGATGACACCATAAATAGCCACTACCTCGCAAAAGATAATGGAGATTAAGTTCTTCGTCCGAATTCTTGGTGCCTTGACACCTCCGCCGACAATCGATGAACCCGTGAGGAAGATACCCCTGGACAGCCATGCCATGAGTAATGATATAACAGGAAAAATAGCCGCAAATGAGGACGTACCACGCTGCTCCAACAACTGATAAACCTATGCACATCGCGATACCGATGTTTGCCCAAGCATATGGGGATACGGATTCGAGGAATTGACCAACCTAGGAGATGTTAACAGGGTACCCTATAAAATATATGCAACATTCAAATGTCTTTCAATACATTAAATTGTTCACCATCTCCGTGGAAAAGCATATCTACAAGTATTGATTAGCGCATATTATCAATATCCCTCTTGGATGAGATCACTTACAGCCCCCGATCACTAGGAGTGACACGGTAGCAGCACCAGCTGGATAGACGAGACCCATGGTGACCTCCAACTTCTGACACGATTCTTTAAGCTGGAGGAAACAGCAAACAAGCTACAGGGTCTTTAGACGCCTAACAAAAATCTCCCAAACGATAGAAGTATTGCTGTGGAGCGGAGCTCTTGTCCGGATCACTCGTCTGGAGCAACAGCCGCACCTTGCGCTGATGATGGATGGGTCGGGCCGGATTTAATCCGTCATCGGGAGGCGGTCGGAGTAATGCTGGCTTGTCAGTCCATAACATTTACTTACCGTACAGTTTCCCCATATCGATCCATGGGTTCGAGTTGACTTCACTCCTCCCAAATCGCCCATTTGAACAACTCTGGCGCCTTGTTTGGGTCTTGCATCTGATCTCCGATAATATTTTCTCCTTTCATGTCCTTCTATCCATAAAAACCTTGCGCACCCGTTTTACAGGCCTACGTAAAATTATTTGCGACTTTCCCTCCGCTACCCCTGATCCTACCATTACCTTTAACAAGTTTCTCTTATCACAATGGCATCCACTTCCGCTGTAGGGTCGTATTCGAACCCTTTGAAAAAGTTTAAGTATGTCCTTGTATACCAAAGCTCCCTGTAGTCTGAATTAATTGTTGACTGTACCACAGGCTGGTGTTCTTGGGAGAGCAGAGCGGTATGGATACCACGTGCCAGTTTTCCATTAGTTTATGGCCTGTGCAAGTTTCTGATTGTGACATGTAGTTGGCAAGACGTCCCTGATTACGAGATTCATGTACGACTCATTCGATAATACATATCAAGCGACCATCGGAATCGACTTTCTGTCAAAGGTATATCTCAACTAGCTAGCATCTCGAGCTTACCACTCCGCTTTCGACACGCTTTGATCGCTCATGCCAGTGTTAACTCGTTTTTCAGACTATGTATCTAGAGGACAGAACTGTTCGACTCCAGCTTTGGGATACAGCCGGTCAAGAACGATTCCGGTCATTGATCCCTTCCTACATTCGGGATTCGAGCGTTGCTGTTGTTGTTTACGATATTTCAAACGCCAAGTCCTTCCAGAACACCCGGAAATGGATTGACGACGTACGAGGGGAGCGTGGCAATGATGTTATCATTGTTCTAGTTGGCAACAAGACTGATCTTAACGACAAGCGCGAGGTTACAACTGCGCAGGGTGAAGAGGAGGCTAAGAAGAACGGGCTGATGTTCATTGAGACTAGCGCTAAGGTTGGCCATAATGTCAAGCAACTTTTCCGGCGGATAGCCCAAGCTTTACCAGGCATGGAAGGTGAAGGTAACAGAGGAGAAAGCCAAGGTTTGTTTCCTCGGCATTACGTATAAGTTCCTCGCAGCTGACTGTGACTAGTGATCGATGTGAACATCACCCCAAAAGAGACCACGACCAACGATGGATGCGCCTGCTGAATGCTGTAATGTACTACTACCTGGTCGCCACTTTCGATTACTTTCACCAATTTGTTCCCTCGATCTCAATGATGAGGTTCGAGATTGTCAATATTGCTCTGTCATTCTTAATCTGTACATTTTTCTCCCTTTGCTTCTCGAGTGGATAGCGTGTTTAGATCGAAGCCGTTTTTCCTTTTTCTCTTTTTCCTGTTTTTCATACACGGTCGCCTGGTGCTTGGTGGGAGAATTTGGCGTTCTACTTGCTGCATCGCATCAGCATCCCATTGCTTGCCCCTCAGATTTCTGCGATATCCTTTTTATCTCTAACGGCTCAGATTTGAGGTTATGGTTTTAAGATGTCATGGCTCTTGTAAGATTTTGGACAGCGTCTACGATACATATATATTATACTATTTATTTAGCATACGATCCACAACTGCATGGTGTCCCAAAATTTCAGCCAACATAATCGGGAGGAAGCGAAAAATGGAAAAGAAAAAGCTTAAGGTCAGGCCAGACATATTCGGAACATTTTCATGATACCTACCTACTTGACAACCTTCATTAGCGCTGCTAGCATCGGGAACGTTTCGTACTCGTATTGTCTGATGCGATATTGCTGACTGCCTAGGCGAATAGCCCCATCCACGAAAGAAAACCCCAGAAATTCAGCAGGGAGTAGGAAAGAAGGGTATGATTGAATTCCAGTTTTGTTCGGTTTGACCTTGAAGCAATAGCTGGAAGTACATACAACCACCCTCCTTAAACACGGTCATTGAAAACTTGCGCATTGAGCGATTCATTGGACGTAAACTCATGTACGGAGTACGGAGTACCCGAACGTCATTAAAGCGCCGCTCAGGTCTTGGCGTTCAATAGGCGAAAATAGTAGCGATCGGCGGGGCGGATCGTCCGGAAAACCAAGCCCCTGTGTGACAATACCGCATGGGCATCGTGACCCAACTGCTGCTGACTACCAGCCTTCTCCCTTTCTTCTCTTCTGAACGTATTGGCTTCCATTCCTTTTCCTTTTTCTATTGCATCCTCCCATCGCTTGTGCCACTCCCACAGTAGCCCGTCGGTGATATCAATGATGGGGTTTTCACCAACCCGTTTTCTCCGCATCCCGCGGCCAGAGGTATGTCAAAGTAAAATTTCGTGATAAATGGCCTTCCCGTTCCGTGTCTAGATTAATCGATGGTGCTAAGAATGAACTTCCCGGGTACAACAGACATTCCTCTATGTCATGAGCCTGCGGACGGGCGCTTCTCTCATCACTTTATCCTTGCTCTTGAACAAAATTAGCGGCCTTTACGGGTTGCTTGCGCTCCTAACCGGCTACCACCTTTCACCCGTCCAGCTGTCCATGTACCTTTACTCCCTACTCGCTCTCGGCGTCGCAACACTGCTCTTCCCGCATATCCGGAAACAATCGCCTCTGCAATGCCTCGCTCTCGCCTGGCTCTACCTCTTCGATAGCGTCATCAACGCCGCTTATACCGCTGCTTTTGGCGTAACATGGTTCCTTGTCATCTCTCAAAATTACGAGAGTGGAAATACTTCTGGACCCGGTAGTGAGACGATTGCTCAGACTGCCGGCTTCACCAGCCCGAAGTATGATTCGACATCTTCGCAGGGCGCCCAGTATGCCAGAAGTTCCGATGGCCTAGGCAACGCGGTTACCCAACCGGAAAGCTTCCAAAGCATTGTCTTCATCTGCTCGCTATGGATCATCCGCGCATATTTTGTTTTTGTCATGTTGGCATTTGCTCGCCAGTCTCTACGTCTTTATATCGCTGTGCCTCGCCACACTCAGCTCCCGACTCATAGCCGGAACACTTCCGTCGCCAGTGTGGCCAGCGTCGCGGACATCGATAAGGAGCCGTTCTCGCCGTTCACGCCTGATGGTCAAGGTTGGAAGGGAAAGCTTGGTCGCGCTATGATTAGCGTTGGTCGCAATTATTGGTTAGGCGAGGATGAGGATGGTAACTGGATGGATACTATGGGGCGACGGTTTCGTGCCCGCGGCGAGAGCACCGAGCTTCCCGGCCCCCTCGAAAGAGAACGGAGACGTCGATCTGGAACGGGCCCTCCTCAGCCTTCTCAATCGGCTGTCCAGGCGGCTGCCTTACAACAACCCATCTATGAGGTACCGGGTATGAACGTCAAAATGCAGGACTGGGGTGAAACTAGGTAACCGGAAGCGACCGGATGTCGCCGATCCGCTACAGGTCATCCATTCAAGTTCAGGTCAATGCTGGGGGAAGTAATTGCGTCTAAATCTATACAACGTGGGTGTCCTTGGCAGAGGAGACGGATGTCAATGCTCCTCTTCGTACTACGGACGCCTAACTCATAAGCGACGAGGCTCTGGTGTCAACAGCCTTGTCTCTTACCCAACTCACATGACGTGGTTTTCGTTACAAATTATATCACTAAAAATGGCGGGATGATCTACAAATCTCTGGTCACTAGCCATATGGCGCAAGAGTGATGACTCGACAACGCTCAGAGCTCTTTTTCTCTCCTTCCGGAGCGGATCACAGAGATGGAGTCCGAATTTCCTTTGGACAAAGGTACATTTGGCCAATAGAAGTTGTTCTTTATGGAAGCGAACGGTCTGTTTGTTCGGCTATAAGGACGGAAGGATTGGTTTTTTAGATGTGGTCCCCGGCGTCTGGGACTTGTACATTGATATCGATATGGGTTTTGTTTCAACCTTTGGCGTCTTGGGGATCAGTTTTCATGCACTATATCAGGGAATCGCATAATGTTCTATCATGAATGACAAAAGATGGCAAGTTAGTCACCACACAGGGCACAGTACTCATTTGTATGACTCAATTTGTAACCCCTCATTTTCCTTCTCTCTTTTTGTTTTTCTATTCTTGTCAAAAGCATGTCCACTTAGTCCCCTGTTGTAGAAACTAGATGATAAAGGACGAGTTGGGTTCATTAACGATGGTCCTCGACTCACCGTGCTAGGTTGTTAGCATTCAGCTGACCATTTAACCACGCCGGGAGTCTCTCGCCCGAGAGGAAATTATCTTCGTAATAAGCGCCGAATGATCAAATACCGATCGGTCTCCTGGTAATGGGAAATAGGGGGCAATTAAGGGATACACTTATATGATATGTGCTGTGCAGTTTCTTACGGAGCAATCTTCCTTTAAATGTGTTAATTCAAAATTTATTCTTGAGGCTGATGAGTGGATGTCTCCCACGTTCGGCTGCAACATGAGATCTTAAGATTAATCGTACATACAGAGTAAAAGTAACCGGCCTATCAGCATTCTGCCGAAGCAAAGCCCGCTGAAGAACTGACGTGCTCGACCTGCTGCCCGCACTTGACCCGATTAAGGATGTTTGCACCCACCGCCCGCGCACGTTTGCATCGATGTCGTGATCGCAGTCCAATGAGAATGTTGCTGATCCAACCCCGATGGCGGAGAAAGTCTATGGGGAACAAAGTCGCTGCTTTAATTTTGAAGGAAATCGTAAGGATAAACGAGAAAGAGTCAAGCTAATTTTTTATATGTCCTTAAGACTGTCACTTTCCCCTTCTTTTTTTCCTCCTTTCCCATCATCGACTGAGCTCAATTTGAGTGTGGAGTCACCGTATGCGGTGATATCTACTCTATATACCATTAGCAGTATCATCCCACCTTTGCGCTCTACATAGCGCAACTGGCAATTGCCAACATGGCGCCCGTTTCAACTGCCGGAGAGGCAGGTGAGTCATTTTCTTTCTTTCTTCCATTTCCTAGTCCGTTGCTTGTGTATTTGACTATTTCTTGCTATCATTGTCTGTCTACGAGCTGGTAATGGAGTACTAATTTACATTTCAGTGGCGAGAGTCGCCTATCTCACAAGTGACGTTGTGGTCTCCGTCCAGCCGTCCCTACGGACAGATTCTTGGTTTAGCGAGCCGCTGAAGACTCTCAAGCAAGAGAAGGCGCGCAGTATTCTGCCCAAGGGTATACCCGATGTGAGTGATTCTGAAATGTAGCTTGTTTAAATTCGGACTGTGAATTGACAAGTTCATCAGGTGGTTTCGGTACGATACAACGAAGATCCTCTCATCTCTGCTTTCCACCCTTTGCAGACTGGAGATGTAGTTTCTGTTGTTTCTAGTTCCTCTGTCCTCCTCTCTTCCATCCCTCACCTCTACCGCTTAGCGAACTTCCCTATTGTTATCCACGTTGCTCTGGAGCCTTCTCCATTCCCAGATTACTCGGTAATCAGCTCAATACGGCAGTGTGGCTTCACATTCCTGCACTCTGAGACTGTTCAAGAGGCACAAGATATCTCTATCACTGCTCATGCTTTGGCACGCAAGTCCGGAAAAGGCGTCATTCATTTCTTTGACCCTGCCAATTCTGCTCGCGACGAGCCCATTGCAGAGGAGGATGTGAATGTGATCCAGAGTGTTCTGAACTTGGGCGGACACCATGCTACTCATTCCACCGGACTTGGTGCCCAAACATTGTACACTGATTCGGGACGGCTAGCTACCGTAACAGATGAAGTTGTAGATAACACTAAGACCCCCGAGGGTGCTGCTACCCCTGCACAGCCATCTCAGACACCTTCGAGCATTAGTGTTGACAACTCGTCCGTTGGCTCCTCAAGAAGAGATAGCAGTGTTGATAGCCGTGCTACCAGCTCCGCTGCAACAACAGTGGATGCTTCTTCTGTTAGGCCAGTTAGTGCCGCAGACATCTTCGAGTGGACTTCTCAGATTTGGCGCACTCTGTCGGGATTGGTGGGTCGCAACTACAATGCGGTCGAGTATACTGGTCCTTCGGACGCCAAATCCGCTCTCTTTATCTTTGGCTCCACTGGAGTGTTTGTGGATGCTCTGTCTAAGGAGGACACTGTCAGCGAGCTTAAGAACATCGGACTTATCACTGCGCGGTTGTACCGACCCTGGGTGGGTGGCCAGATTGTGAACTCTATTCCAGCCTCTGTTGAAAAGATCGCCGTCCTGGAACAAGTCCGCAAAACTACACGATGGGGTCCTTCGTTCATGGATCTGTTGTCAAGCTTAACCCCTACCACTGCTGGAGGACGTGCTCCACAGATTGTCGGTTATAGACTTGGGTATGTTGAGCCATCCACTGCCATTCAGGCACTCCGCGGCATTGCCCAGAACTTGGACACTCCCTCTCCTATCCAGAACCTCGAAGTCGGTAGCTCCAAAGTTCCAACACTTGAGACTGCCTTGGAGCAGCCTCATATCGAAAATGCCTATCTGAAGATCTTAAATCAGCTCTTCGGGGAGCGTTTGCACATTGCCAACCAGTTGGATTCCAAGCATGCCGGTGTCTCCTCCACCATTGCAGCCAGCCCTGAATATGGATTTGGTTCCTTGATTGCCCGGATGGAACACCGCCGCCGTTTTGTACGGGAGGTTGAAGAAGCATCGAAGGCTGGCAGCTTCGCTACTGATGCCCCGAAGACATCCCTCTCAAACTGGGCTCTTAATGCCGGAGATGCATCCAAGGCCAACAGATTGGCTCCAGATGTTATTGATCACCTTTCGAAGGACGATTCCGAGTTGGCTAAGAAGCTCTTAGAATCCAGGAAGCTTTTCTATGATGAGTCTCGTTGGCTCGTTGGCTCCGATGCCTGGGCTTATGATCTTGGGAACTCAGGTGTCCACCATGTCCTTGCCTCTGGTGCCAATGTTAACATGCTCGTTATCGATTCTCAGCCATATTCTGAACGCACCGCTGCTGATCCCACACGCAGGAAGAAGGACATTGGTCTTTATGCCATGAACTACGGCAATGCCTATGTTGCCTCTGTTGCCGTGTACGGCTCCTACACTCAGGTCCTCCAAGCCATGGCTGAGGCTGAACAGTTCAAGGGCCCATCCGTAGTTGTTGCATACCTGCCCTACCACCAGGAGGACGACTCTGCCTTGACTGTTCTCCAGGAAACGAAGAAGGCCATCGACCTCGGATACTGGCCTTTGTACCGCTGGAACCCTGGAAACGAAGAGAACAACGAGCCTAAGTTCTCCCTCGATTCGGAACGTATCAAGCGTGAACTTGAAGAGTTCCTTCGTAGGGACAACCAGCTAAGTCAGCTTATGAACCGTCATCCCAAGTTTTCTTCTGCCCTCTCTGAATCTTACGGCACCGAGGTTCGGGCCCTCCAGAAGCGTAAGGCTAAGGACTCCTATGAGAAGCTTCTCGAAGGTCTTTTCGGTGCACCCTTGACGATCCTATTCGCGTCAGACAATGGCAACGCCCAAAATCTGGCAAAGCGTCTTGGAAACCGCGGTCGCGCCAGGGGACTGAAGACTATGGTCATGGCCATGGATGACTACCCCGCCGAGGACCTGTCGACTGAGGAGAACGTGGTGTTTATCACCAGTACAGCGGGCCAGGGAGAGTTTCCCGTCAATGGACGTGGTCTGTGGGAATTCGTGAAGAGCTCTGGTGACCTTGATCTATCTGCTATCAACTACTCTGTTTTTGGTCTTGGTGATAGCCACTACTGGCCACGCAAGGAAGATAAGATCTACTACAACAAGCCCGCCAAGGACCTTGATGCCCGGGTTGCCTTTTTGGGCGGACGTAAGCTCGCGGATATTGGACTTGGGGACGATCAGGATCCAGACGCTTACCAGACTGGTTACTCCGAATGGGAGCCACGTCTCTGGCAATCCTTGGGGGTGGACAAAGTCGAGGGTCTTCCTGAGGAGCCCGCACCTTTGACAAACGAGGACATCAAGATACAGTCTAACTACCTCCGTGGTACCATTGCTGAGGGTCTGTTGGATGAGAGTACCGGTGCTATCTCTGCAAGCGACCAGCAGTTGACCAAGTTCCACGGCACCTATATGCAAGATGACCGTGATGTGCGCGATGAGCGCAAAGCCCAAGGCCTTGAGCCCGCCTATAGCTTCATGATCCGTTGCCGACTTGCTGGTGGTGTTGCCACTCCCACCCAGTGGCTGCAAATGGATGCTATTAGCAGCTCCCATGGTAACGAGACCATGAAGCTCACGACCAGACAGACCTTCCAATTCCACGGTGTCATCAAGCGTAACCTCCGAGGCGCGATGCGTGCTATTAATAAAGCACTTATGACTACCATTGCAGCCTGCGGTGATGTTAACCGTAACGTCATGTGCAGCTCCCTCCCAGAGCTCTCTTCCTACCATCGCGAGGCGCATGCTGTCGCGCAGAAGATTAGCGACCATCTTCTCCCTTCTACTACAGCCTACCATGAGATTTGGCTGAAGGATGAGGATGATAAAAAGGTTCAAGTCGCTGGAGATGCTGTTGTCGATAACGAACCCCTCTATGGCCCTACTTACCTCCCCCGTAAGTTCAAGATCACTATTGCTATTCCTCCTCACAACGACACCGATGTGTATGCACATGATATTGGCTTGATTGCCATCAAGGGAGCCGATGGTCATCTGGAAGGTTTCAACATTCTCGCTGGTGGTGGCATGGGTAGCACTCACAACAACAAGAAGACATATCCTCAGACCGGCCGCATGTTTGGATATGTACCCGCCGATCAGGCCCACATTGTCTGTGAAAAGATTATGTTGGTACAACGTGATCACGGTGACCGTCAGAACCGCAAGCATGCACGTCTGAAGTACACTATCGACGACATGGGTGTTGAGGTCTTCAAGGAGAAGGTGGAGGCTCTCCTTCCAGAGGGCTTGCGTTTTGCCGAACCTCGTCCGTTCAAGTTTGCTTCCAACGTTGATACCTTTGGCTGGCTTAAGGATGAGAAGGGCCTCAATCACTTCACTTTCTTCATTGAGAATGGGCGAATTGAGGATACTGCCGACTTCCAGATGCGCACCGGTTTACGTGAACTGGCGAAGCTTGACAAGGGCGAGTTCCGTCTCACCGGTAATCAGCATCTGATTCTATCCAGCGTCAAGGATGAGGACCTCCCTGCAATCAAGGAATTGATGGCCAAGTACAAGCTCGATAACACCTCCTTCAGTGGTATGCGTCTTTCTTCGTCTGCTTGTGTCGCCTTCCCCACTTGTGGCCTGGCCATGGCCGAGTCCGAGCGCTACCTGCCAGTTCTTATCTCTAAGCTCGAGTCTACCCTCGAAGATGTGGGTCTGGCTAGAGACAGCATCGTCATGCGTATGACAGGCTGCCCCAACGGCTGCGCCAGGCCCTGGCTCGCCGAAGCTGCCTTTGTCGGTAAGGCATACGGTGCGTACAATATGTACCTCGGCGGTGGCTACCATGGACAACGCCTGAACAAGCTTTACCGCTCTTCTATCAAGGAGGATGAGATTTTGGAAATCATGAAGGGTCTCCTCAAGCGGTACGCACTTGAGCGCAATACAGATGGTGAAGAGCCTGAGAGATTCGGAGACTGGTGTATTCGTGCAGGCGTGATCAATGAAACTACTGATGGACGCAACTTCCATGAAGGAGTAAGTTAACCGTCGCTACCACACACATTCAGACTTTCCACCTAACTAAATTAAACAGGTTGCTGAAGACGAAGATGACGAGTAAAGAATTAAAATCAGGGATAAAAAGAGGGTAAATCATTTTGACTTATGTTGAGCTTCGCTTTGATTGTCATGACCACCTTTTACTACGTCAGTTGCATTGTTTTAGATTCCACGATTTTCATGTGAGCCATGGTTCATTGGTGTAGTTATTTGATTTGTTGCAATCGTCGCTTGCTTCTGTGTATACCTGTATATGCCTGACCTCTAAAAGCATTAGAGTTGGATCAGCCGAATTAATCTTCATGTACTACAGTGGGAGTTTTATCGACGCAGGTAACAGCCACCAATCTTTATGCTCATTAATGTAGTCGGTAAGCAAGTGACGCGTGCACACGGGTGACGCACCACCTGTGCTTTCAACGTGCCTTATTTTCTTAGGTAATCAAAATACTACTACCAAAATACCTAAATTATCAAAATTATATATGAAGTAGGAAGACAGGGTCCTACTTACTATATCAGCTATAAAAGATTATAAATTTAGTATTTTATACAAGCCTTCTTCAGGACTCTCCTATATCTATAGATAAAGAGGGATTCTGAATAATACACCTCCGTCCTATACTAGCAACTCCATTTTGAGGCAGTGCTGTGATGGGGCATTCTTATTTGTCTTCACAGAAACAACGTGGGCTACTGTATAGACCTTACCATGGGTCTCTATTGGTTACCTTGTTTTAGACTGTCAAACAAAATTTTATTTTACCAGCTAGTATTTCCTAATATAAAGCCAGTCATCGGTCCCAAAGTGAGAAATAAATCAATTACTTTTTAACATCTCCTAACTTCAGAACTGCTACTCTTCATTTATAAAGATGAATGAATGGACCCCCGGCGTGCAATATAACCAGTCTGATGTGGTAGTCTACCAAGGTATGTCCTTAGTTCTTTTAAACTCACTAAACACTATTGATTTTGACTTACACTGGTATAGGCAAAACTTATAAAGCTATTCGGCCTCACATGTCTCAGGTAAGTTCGCTTTTATTAAAACCTTTACCCATACTCATTTTAGTTATAGAGCGATTGGGTGCCTGAAATTACCCCCTCCCTTTGGGTACTATTCCACGACTAGATAGTAAGAACGCTAGCCCCTTATCCTCTACTATCATTTATTAATGTCAGAACCCTAGAGATGTGTAGCTATGTGTTACAGGGTTCTCCGAACCCTCGGATCTTCCAAAGCTTAGCAGAGTCTGCGTGGAATATATTCTAATAAGGGACAAACTTATATAAAGGGATATATCATATAACTAACTGCTTCTTGTCTACCTATCTCTTTCCTTGATTAATTCATTCATGAATCATGTATTTACATAACCTTTAGGTTGAGCTAATCTAAACGGCTCCTATAACAGTCAGCTTTAAGGAAAGACGTCACAATAAATAATATACATCAGTGATCATAAATTATCAGGTCTTGAAGAAGAAGTCCATACTAAGAGAGTCAGAGACTTTGTAAGAGATATTGCCAGGGCCCAATATTCCACAAGACTAAAAGGTCATATAATTCGGGATCAACGATCCCGAATGCCCTGGGGTCACCTATATAGTATACCGCCGTTACAAACTTCCAGATACAGATAAAAAGGGTATTTAATTTAAACCTGAGTTGTATTTAGAATTACACAGACCCTACTTTATAAGCATATATAAGATCTGACTACAAGCCTTAAAATTAACTGGGCGTATTCTTTTATTAAATAGGGTCCTAAACTGCGATTAAAAAATAAAGTACTCTACTAAATACATTATTTTCAAAAAAGATAAATCTATATCTAAAGCCCGAATTCTTATAGAACACCGAAATCAGGTAGATAAAGCTATACAGATAGATAGGACTCTATCTACTGAATCGGCTCCTAGACACACCCTATCTAAATATTCTGGCTATAGTGTACAGGGTTATTGGCAATAACTTATTGCGCAGCGGAGCGAAGCGTACTAGCAAGCAATATAGGAAGGAGACTGCTCAGTCGGATCTGTGTTCTGATTGGCCCATAACTCTGGGTTCTTATTGGACGAGAATTCATCAGTGACATCACTGTTTGCTTTATCTTATATAATCATTTCAAGCCTATTTAGGTAATCTGGGCAGTGTATCTCCAGTAATCTAACCAATTTCTAGAGCTTTTGAATGTGCTGCAATGCCTAGATTTCTATAACGCTGAACTGCCTGTGTGGCCTAGATTTCTAGATCTTTAAATCGCCTGCGTGGCCTAGAACCTGAGAGCCTTTAAATACACTGCAATATCTCGATTTCTAGATTATTTAAACACGCTGCAATACCTGCGCAGCCTATTCAGCTCGGGTAGGTAATCTAGGTAATCTAAATAGAATAGTATAATCTTTTAAATAATCTTCGTAATTTATGGTGTTTTGACTATTTTAATTTTTAACATGGTGCGTCACTCACCCGCGTGCACGCGTCGTTCGCTTACCGACTACATTAAATCCAAATTGTAGTCTTGATGGCTTCCTGTATTATTGTATTACTACTACTAGTACCGGTAACATCCTGTTACAAATATCATTTAGAAGTTCCGTTATAAACAAGTCATCAGAATGGAAGGCGGTGTACTCTACTTGTTCCGCTCTTATCACTACTCCGCCGCCTCGATATGGAAAAAAAATTGAGGAAGACTCGGAGAAAAACAGTCAATTGCCTACGATTTACTGTGCTCCTGTCCAATTCCAACGAATACTATTAAATTAATGATACGATCTTAATCGACCAACCCATCCATTGACCAAAGCCCCATATCCACACCATGGATTCCTCAGACCCCGTCATCGCATCCTACGACGTCTACCTCACAGACTCCGAAATCTCTCGGTACGTCCTTCAATATCTCGACCGACTACCAGACTACCCGTACGATGACCGCCACGGCCAAAAGCCCACTGCCTTTCGCCTAAAACCCAAATCCGGGCTTGTCGAAGTCGACGTCCCGATCAACACCCGCATGAACTATGACGTGAATAAAGGCCTGAAGTACGGCGATGCGCTGAAGAAAAGTCGCAGTTCGCAAGAGGGTGGCGCATTCGGCATGGCTGGTGGTTTTACCGGCGGTTCCCTTTCTAGCGGAAATAAGGTGAAGATGGAAGCCGGTGGGGATGTGGAAATGGGCGGCATGGGAAATGGAGACTCAGCTTCTTTATTACGGGTGCAGACGTTGGGCGGTCGCATTAAGATTCCTGAAGAGGGGGATCCGGTTTATATGTTGGCTGCTTTCCGGGGGAGTGAGTTGCTGCGCTGGGTCTCTTCGGTGGTGTTGCGTGTGGGCGCTAATTGTGATTATAGATAATCTTCATTTGTCGCCTGTTTCGGCAGTTGTGCAGGTGCATCCTCAGCTTCATCATCTTGATGCTTTAGATGAGATTCCTGCCAAGGGGAAGGGAAAGAAAAAGGATGACGAGGAGGGTGGTGGGAATGAGGCTCGCGCGATCGATATCAAGGTCAAGGCGGCTGAAGATGATCAGGCGAATCAGTTGGCTGGTAATCTGGATCTTTTAAAGAAGATGCAGGAGGAGAAATGGGGTGGCTACGATTGGGTCGATGCTGAGGTGAGTATTTGTTCCGTGATGGTTTCGTTTCTAATGAGAGGCTCTGCTGATTCGAGATACTCTTAAGACTGAGGAATCATGGCAAGTATATGAAAGCTACATGATGCACCAAGACTTGGAAAATCTACCGCAATTGGAATCGGCTATCGATAGTGAGGACTACCTGGATAAGATGAGTGCGCCGCGTATTGACCCGGCAAACCCAGAGATGACTGGTTGGGCTATGAAGCAGAACCGGATGAAGCAGAATGGAAGGGGGGGTTCTTCTAGGAGTAGTACTGAAGAGCAATAATTAAATTTTCTACATGTAAAAAGATAGACTTTCCGAATGGCATCATGAGAATATCCCCAAAAATGCATGGAGCGTGCGAGGTACCATCTATTGATTGATAGTATGCGAAACATGCTATAGATAAGATTGATAACATAGGTACCTGAGCTCTATGAAAATCAGGCACAAAACTCTGAGCTTATGACAGAAAGTAATGGGTAAATTGTACAGAAAATTTGAAAAGCTTTGTTGTAGAGGAATATTATTGAAAATCAGGGAAAGATTGAACGATCGCCACCCTCAAAGCTGATAGGTACGATGTGGACGCGATTCCGCAAATGAGACGCCGAAGAAAAACATGATAATCAAATCACGTGAACGCACGTGCCTTATCTCCCCTTTGAGGATCCGAGTATTTTTCCCCCGATTTCTCCGTCCAGGAACTACTACGGCATTTCGACATTTTCGCCTTCATCAGACCTTCACCCCCTTCTTTCTTTACCTATCTCTTAGAAACTGGTGAAGGGCTGCAGGACGGCTTGTCAGCAGATACCTTCCGCTGACAGGAAGTTCATTGTCAATTTATTGAATCTTTCTTGCGCATATTCGCATACTAATGATTTTTGTTCATGCATAATTTTTGCCTTCTTTCATAATTTTCTCCTTTCTTTACGTGCCTCTACATCGTATTCTTAATTTATCTCCAGTTGCTTCAGCGAAAAGTCTTGAATCATGTTGTCCCGAATTGCTCGTCAGAGAAATGCAGCATCTCATCTCCGGGTCTCTAATGGGCGTTTGGTGTCGCCATCTTTGGCCACCCTGCGGTTTCACTCCCATCTAGGTCGGCCGAATTCTTTTGTCAACATGTCCATCAATCCTTCCCCCGATCGTCTCCGTCAACCATCTCTTCAATCAAATCGGCATCTCGCTACGGCGGCAGATCACTCCCCCGTTGAACAACAACCACCGTATCCTTCGTTCGAGAACTCATACACAGCCGGTCACCGGTATGACCAATCGGCACAAATGGCTTCTCTGTTCCCACCCATTTCGAAGGGGTTCAATGCTTCATCCTTAATCATCATAGACGACCTTCTACAGACAAGACCAAGAGCTCTCAAAAAGCACAAGGGTATTGGTGGTGATGAAGACGAGATGATGGCAAACCTGGATATCTCCCTGAAAGTTGGCCGAATGGATCGGGCTGCCAATCTCATCACCCGTCTCGGGGAGTATTTTCCAATCGGTTCGCCTGAATATCTGGCCATCCATAACCGCTATCTGGAGGAGATGGTGTCACACATGGTTGTAACAAGGCAACACAACTTGGTCTTGCCCTTACAAAGATGGTTCGAAGTTGACATGGCTCACGGGGGAGTGGAGCCAGATGCGCGAACATATGCGATCATGATTCGGATGGCACTACGTATGTTACATGGTGCTAAGCGGGACAGGGCAGTTCGCAGATATTGGAGCTTCGCGAAGACAGCGGGTGTCGAGGAGGAGGTTTTAGCTGTTCCAGTTCTTTCGGAATTAGAGCTAGGCGAACTGTCAGAGGTTTGTCTATCCCACCCTTGCTTTCACTTTAACGTTATGAGGTATGCGGGAAATAAGAAATTGACACTGACACTTTTTTCTCACTAGATCTGTTCATCTGACCTTCGACGTGTTGCGATCGGTAGTATACACTCAGACGTTGCCAATACAAGTCCTGAATCGATCACAGATGAGGTCCCGGCTGTGAGGCCTGTTGACCAAAAAGGCCTTGGGCTTTCGTCTTTGCAGGACTCTCTCTCAATGTTCTCCACTGGCTCTGATATCGCTTTCCCAACTGACGCCAAGTATACGGAAGAGGAGAAGTTAGAGTTATACAATCAACTCAGACAGCGACAGTTAGAGACGGATTCGATACGGACTTCACTTGAACGATGGCGGCAAGAGTTTACTCAGATGCAAAAATCAGGGTTAGATATGACTGGCGGTGGGAAAAAGCTTGGTACCATTATGAATCAGTGGCATATGGGACTTGTATCCAGGATCCAAGAAGAACTCAAGCTTGTTGATGAAGCGGAGGCCAATCCCATTCGGACTTTCGAACAGAAAGAGCGTTATGACTACGGAGTTTATCTGAGGAGTCTGGACCCGGAAAGATTGGCCGCGCTCACTATTCTCGCCGTTATATCTACCTTCTCTCGCGGAGGCATGGAAAAAGGAATCAAGGTCTCTGCAATTGCCACTGGTATTGGGAAAGACCTTCAAGATGAACTCATAGCTGAAATAACCCTTAAAAAGCAGCAGTCAGGAAATGATGCCCGTCGCATGAAAGCACTTAAGGAAATTTTTGCTGGTCGCAAACAGAAGGACGGCCGATCGCCCTGGCAGAAGATCGTGCACGACCTGGATAAGGAGGACCCGGCAGCTATCTGGCCTCCTAGGGTGAAAGCTAAAGTCGGGGCCGTCTTGATGAGTTTCCTTTTTGATGTCGGAAAGGTTCCTATTACAGCGGAGGAACCAGGGACAAAGAAAAAAACAATCACCTTGCAACCCGCATTCCAGCACTCCTATCAAATTAACTGGGGGAGAAAGTCGGGATACGTTCATTTACACCCGGAAATTGTTCAGATCGTTGCCAGGGAACCTACCGCAGATGTGCTAGGTCGTCAGTTGCCCATGATCTGTAAACCAAAACCGTGGAACGGTCCTAAAGATGGTGGATATTTCATCTATCAGAGCAGCATTGTACGCGCAACACCGGGCGAGACTCTACAACCGTCTTACATCAAGGCAGCGATGGAGAACAATGGTTTGGAACAGGTCCGCGAGGGTTTGAATATTCTTGGAAGGACTGGGTGGAAGATCAATCGCGATGTATTCGAGGTCATGCTTGAGGCATGGAACTCGGGAGATGCTGTTGCCAGCCTTGCACCCTTGAACCCTGACCTGCCTCACCCACCTAAGCCAGCTCCCGAAGAAGGTTTCGCGGCCGAGAAGAAGTGGGATAACATTATGCGTGAGATCGAAAACAGACGATCCGGCATGCATTCAAACCGATGCTTTCAAAATTTCCAGTTAGAGGTTGCCCGTGCGTACAGAAATGATACTTTCTATCTCCCCCATAACATGGACTTCCGCGGTCGTGCTTACCCGCTCCCACCATATCTTAACCAAATGGGTGCGGACAATGCTAGAGGACTCCTCCTTTTCAGCGAAGCTAAACCGCTGGGCGCTCGTGGCCTAAGATGGCTGAAGATTCAGATTGCAAACTTGGCTGGCTTTGACAAGGCTAGCCTATCGGAACGTGAACAATGGACAATGGATCACTTAGACGATGTTCTTGATTCTGCAAACAAAGGTTTACACGGCAGACGGTGGTGGCTTGACGCAGAGGATCCATGGCAATGCCTGGCCGCTTGCTGTGAGCTGAGAAACGCTCTCCAGCACCCGGATCCCACGCAATATCCATCGCGACTACCTATCCATCAAGATGGCTCGTGCAATGGATTGCAACATTACGCAGCGCTTGGCGGTGATAAGGTTGGCGCTCAGCAAGTGAACTTGGAGCCGTCCGACCGCCCATCCGATGTCTATTCTGGTGTTGCCGAATTTGTTAAGGAGGCCGTCGCCCGTGAAGCCAAAGAGGGCAACCCAATTGCAAAGTTGCTTGACGGGAAGATCACCCGTAAGATTGTCAAGCAGACTGTCATGACGAACGTCTACGGTGTCACCTTTATGGGGGCTATGAAGCAAGTGCGCAAACAGCTTGTTGACCACTACCCGGAGCTTTCGGCCGATGACACCAAGAGCGGTTCATTATACATTGCTCGAAAGATTTTCGAGGCTCTAGGCACAATGTTCAATGGAGCTCATGAAATCCAATACTGGCTTGGAGACTGCGCAAGTCGGATCACGCAATCTCTTTCTCCTGAACAGATCGAGGAAATCGCAAAAGAAGCTTTGAGCCCTACGCAATCAACCGAAAGTTCGACAAAGAAAGCCAACGACCCAGCTCAGAAGTTCAGATCCACTGTGATCTGGACCACTCCTCTAGGATTGCCTGTTGTCCAGCCTTACCGCGTTCGGAAATCTCGCCGCGTTCGTACTACTTTGCAGGATTTGAGCATTGTCGATATGGGCTCTGACGATGTTGTTTCCAAGCGCAAGCAACTCCAGGCTTTCCCACCTAATTTTATTCACTCTCTCGACGCTACCCACATGATGTTGTCAGCTATTGCCTGCGACAGGGCTGGTCTCAGCTTTTCGGCGGTCCATGACTCCTTCTGGACCCATGCCTGCGATGTCGACTCCATGAACAATATTCTCCGAGAGGCTTTCGTTCGTATGCATTCTGACGATGTTGTGAAGAGGCTCGCGGCGGAGTTTGAAGTCCGTTACGGCAAGAATTTGTTCCTCGCGAAGGTCAATGTCTCAAGTAAGATTGGAAAGGCTATCCGAGCTCATCGCAGACACGCAAATCACAAATCGGCCAAGGTGCAGGAACTCTTAGAGGAGTACAAGAGACAAAAGCTTTTGCAATCGGACGATCCAGAATTACAAGCCCAGGGACGCGCAATGGTTACTCCTGCTAGTGTCTTTGAGCAGGCCGGTGGTGCCGATAAGGATCTTGCTATTTCGAGCTCGCTCGGTGAGACCGTTGTCGGACATGTTCCGGAGGATCTGGAGGCAGCAGAGCGGAAAGCTTCCGGCATGGAAACAGATTCCTCGGACCCAGTCATTGAGAGTCTGATGACCGATTTTGACGACGTTCTTGGCCCGAAGGCGAACTCCGAAGATGCCACTGCTGAAGCCGATGTGGATGAAATTGACGAGCCGAAGAAGAAAAGGCGCGGTGCTATCCACACTTGGCTCTGGCTACCCTTGCGCTTCCGCGAGGTACCTCGGAAGGGAGAGTGGGACATCACGCGCATCCGAGACAGTGAATATTTCTTCTCTTGAAGAATCGACCATTGGTTGGCTGAGCGGGCCCTCCTTGGCCGGATGTCTGAACGGATTGGGTTGGTGTTGGCTTCGTTTGGCGCAATCGACGATGAAAAGTAAAATTAGAGGGACGGGATCGTCTACGCCCTAGTGCCTCGCTCACCTACCTAAGCGTTTGCCTTGTTTGAGCATGATTAGTGATATCCCCATTTTGTGTATCTGTTGCATCTCTAACAAAACCCTCCCCCTCTATTCACCTTGTGTATTTTCCCC